TCTTACAGGAACTTATAGTTCCTGTAACCCAGATTAATACTGCTATCAAGCAATGATTTTTGCATTTAAAAAGTGCCTGTTGATTGCTCTTCTCTTTTTTTAAATAAAGAGCCTTCTGAATCTGGAAAACATCTGGTTGATTTTTGGCTACTTACGTAGGTCTTCTACTGATTGCTATGTAAGAGCTATAGGCAGAAGTATTGTTTCTAACTGACTAAATAGTCCTTTTTTAACACTCTTGCTGTGGTGCTGCATAACTGGGAAGAAAAGAACAATAGTATACAGAGTAGTAAAGGGATAGCAGAGGAGGGAGATACTTTTTCTCTGATTTCTAAAGAGCAGTAAGTTTAGGAAATCGGTAAGTTCAAAAGACAAATGTGACTCTTATTCATTACTATTTTTATTCTGAGGCTCCATACCATCATCCTGACTCCATGTATAATTCAGACTTGCTTTCAAAATCATGGTCTTTCTGCTTTTATTTCCATACTGCTCCTTTCTTCTTTCCAAGCTTTTTGCTTTCAGTATATGAACATCTCTTAAAAATAAACTGACCTTTATCCCTGCCTTCTTAATGATCATTGGCCAACTAGTATAATGATAATGAAAGAAAAAATTCAGGCATATGTAGTGCTTCAGCGGAGTTTTTAAGTGACTGGGTTTCAAATAAATTGTCTTTCTGAAGCATAAAATGAATCCCTTAATTGCAGATATTAACCCAAGATGCAGTGTCTCCCACTGCCCTCAAAAAGCCCATCACAGACCATCACAAACCTCGAAGCAAATAGGATTTCTGTGCAAACCTTTTGGAAATCATATATAAAGAAGGCTGGAATGGATCTTTAAGGATCTTTGTGTTGTATCTGTCTATTTTCTACCCCCATACTTAGGTAAATACCAGGTATAATTATGCCATCCCTTACTATTAGTTGTCTTACTCACTTTTAAGCACACCCAGTGAAGGCTCTTCCAATTTGAGCCTCTCTGGTGCTTATTTTAACTTGTAGAAAGCATAGTAACTTTTCTAGACTGAACAAATCTGATCATTCCAGCTCTTCTTTACAGGCCATACTTTTGTGGACACTCTGTTATTGTATCTTAAAATCTAATACTTCATGTAGGAATGGTGTACTTTAGCTGGCACTTTGCCAGAACTGATAGGAATAGAATAGCTCTTACCAGGGTGTCTCCAATGGCACATGTACAATTCACCTAGCACACCATGGCTTTCTCTTTTTACCAATAGTAACCATTGTAGCCTCTTGTTCTTTTTCTTGTTTTATTGCTTCTTAGCCTTTTTTTTAATAGTTTGTATGTATGAATTTAAACCTTTTTTGTAAAAAACCCCATTGCTTTCTGTTGTCTCCCTTGATACTCATCTTACTAATTTCTTCGACTTGGAAGCTCTAATTTTGTTACCAGAATGGTTGCAGCCTTTCATGTTTTGGTGTGATTTATAAATATTGTATTTGTGTTTTGTTTGTTTTGAACATAATACAGATTTGTGTTCCATCTCTCCTTACTTTTTTTTACTCTTTTCTCTCTCTTCTGTTTCTCATCTTTTGCATAATGCCCAGCAAGTGGAAAAATCACTGGAACTACTTCTAATTCACTTTTTAAGTATTGCTTATTTCTGTGATCCAAAGTTATATACAAACCATGTAACACTCAAAAGACAGAGCATGCAAAAATTGAACTTACACAGGCATTGATCTGCAAAGGCTGCATCAGTCATGGCGTGCTTAAAATGTGAATGTATGCAAGCACGTGATTTTTATTTTTTTAAATAAAAGCCACTGAAGTTCTATTAAGTAGGCCATTAAAGAGTTGAGACTTTTGTATCTACAACAGACCTTTGCCACTTGAAATAAAAACCAGACAGCTGTAGTACATTGTAAATTAATGAGATACAGTTTGCCTGTCAGTTTGCTTTTGAAACAGAAATGCAGTAACTGCTGTGGCTTAATCTTGAACAAGTATCAGTTTTGAAGTTCTGGAAAAAAGTCATAAAGGAAAACAGTGGGAAGAAGGTGGTGTTACTAATGCTCATAAAACCATATTCCTGTACAAAGTAGAGTTACATTCAGATTTTAACCATAAATGCCTAAGCTAATTAAAATATTACTGAGGGAACTGGAGATGAAGCTTTCCACGAATGTAGAAGGTGCAGCAGTGGTGTTGATTTTTTGGCTCTGATGAGCAACGTGGTTTTTGAGAATAAACTTACTGAAATAAATTCTAATGGTTTCCTGCTGTCTAGAATAGTACATTTGTCTAAGAAAATGCTGCTAGCAGCATGGAGGACTAGGAATTACAGGAAAACATTCACCAGTGAGTTGATCTTTTTCATCAGGGTGGGTTTTATGTATTTAGTTTAATAAACATTTGTAATAGTGGAATTGAAGCTGCTTTAGAAATAGTAGTTTGGATAGGCCAGTTTGCACATATCTGTGGAAAGATAGACAAGGAGGTTGAAAGTTGCAACACTAATACATGTTCTATGTGAATCTGTTTTTCTGCAGGTATGTAGAAGCTTCTGAAGCAGTGGCAGAGGAGGCAGACAAACCAAAGTTGAAGACTGTTGCTTTGACCTGTGTTTTAAACATTGGCGCTTGTAAACTAAAACTGTCAGATTGGCAGGGAGCCATTGAGAGCTGTTCAGAGGTAAATTTAATATTTAGCATTTTGATTAACATTTGGCCTAAATAGAAAAGAGAGACTGAAACTGCAAAGCTTTTTTAAGGAGTCTTCTGACAAGCTTACGATTTGAAAGTAAACAAAGTAGAAGCTCATTGTGAAGTTATTACTAGCTTTCCAGTATGTGGCTTTTTAAAAAGATTTTGAAATTGAAATGAATCATTAAACAAAGGAAAGAGGGCTGTTTCTTACTGTCATTGTCAGTTTGGTTTGCAGAACTAAGAGTTAAACTGTCTTCACTGAAAGGGGAGTACTTTTCTCTGGAAGACTACTATGAGCAAAATGTTCTACTTGCTTTAAGATTTGATGGTGTCATATTTTATTCATGAAAGTGACTTTTCTAACTAAATAACTAACCTTTCAGGTAGGCTTAGTGGTGAAAAGAAACCAGTGAATAAGAAAAAAGAAAGAAGGTAATATAAATATGGAAAACCACTAGAATTGAAAAAAAAAGGGATATAGTGAGAATTTAGTAAATTTAAGGAAACTTTAAATAATTTAGTAAAACTCTGAAATTTTGAAGGAAACAGAGGAAAGAATGCTCTTATCTGTTAGCAGAGGATCCTGAGCAGCATCAAGCTTCATGCTGAAAGCAGGAGTCTCAGCTAATCTGTGTGTGAGAGCTCATTAGAGCGCTGGCTTGCTTTCTAACCTGCTGATGGTGTTATCACATGGAAAACTTTCATGAACCTATATTCACAATGGACAAATGAGGAATGAGGAAAGAAAAAAGAAGAAAACTGTGTAATGTGATACTTGTCACTGAGAAAATGGTAAAAACTGAAACAACATTTAAGCGTTACAGATAGAAATTATTAATCATAATACTTGCCATTGTGGGAAGACAATCACACTTCCTTTATTTTTGAGATTAAATAATTGTTGGATATAGACAACTCCATAGCTGTAATAGACTTCTGAAGGGGATTTAGCTTATGTCTCACAATGTATCAATGTTTTAATCAGAGCACCAGTTTCCTAAAATTAGCTACTAAAGTTCTAGGTAATTGTTAGTGAGAAACTATACACTTTTATGATTTCTTAAGGCCCATAGGAATTTAAATTAACTACCTGTAAAACATGCATTTGTTGGTGTAAATAAGGAATTATGAGCAGCTGAACCTGTTCAAACAAACCTTGCCTTGAAATAATTGTAAGCACAATGGTCGAGGTAAAACCAAAGAATGCTACCTATGTGTATTCAACACAGACCCCTAATTCTTGACACAGGAGAGAGGGGCTGAAGGCTTTATAGCAGACTGATCAAGGGGAGTGCCTGGAGTAACACTTCCTTTGTATTAACAGCCAATACTGAAGTGATTTAAAAAATAAGGATGTGTTGTCTAATGTTTATAATCCATATTAATGATTTAAAGTGAATAAATTAAATTAATAAAGTGACACATTTCTGTGAAGACATTCCCTCTAATCACTGAGAAACTATATTCTTTAAAACACTGTAGAACTAACTGCAGGAAGAATGTGATTTTCACAGGCAAGGTAACTGCTAGCTAGCCAAATTTAACTGAGGTATTTTGAAAAAATAATCGAAGTATTCAAATAGTGGAACGATCTCTTTGCCCAGGCACTGTATTTCCTATTTTGATATTGTCATATTAGAGCTGGCACATACACATTATCGAAAACATTAATCTCAAAAAAGGCGTAATGACTGGAACTTGGCAAGGTTCCTGAAGCATGATGAAATGGATTGCCTGCATGTGTCTTTCTAGCCTACAGTGAAAAAAAGCTTTACAGGAAATCTGTGTTTTATTTATGATGCCATTTGAGGTTTTTTTGGTATGAAGGAAGGAGCTGCAATATAGAGTTGTACGGTGAGACTCAAGGTTAGGATAATTTGAACTGCAGCAACTCCTCAGCCTTGACAGCTAGCTATATATACACACACACAGCTGTTCCATTTTAGCCTCCTGTGTGCTCATCCTTCACAAAAGACCACTTTTGGTGCAGTGGTATTGAAGCCGCTTAGCTAGATATTCAGTGTGCTGCATTACAGCATTCCTTTTTATACAGTTAATGTTTTGACAGTTTACCCTCAAACCAACTGGGAAGATTGTCTGCTGGTGTGAATTTTGCCATTTGTGGAGATGGGAGGCTGTGAAGTATAAGAAATGTTAATGTGACAATTTTATTAAATTTACAGGCTCTTAAAATAGATCCCGCAAATACTAAAGCTCTCTACAGACGGGCCCAAGGATGGCAGGGAATAAAAGATCTCGATCAGGCATTGGTAATGATCACCTTTTTTTTTTTTCCTTTAATCTAAAAATTTCATCAGACCATTAATTTATATTTCTCTTTTATTTAAGGCTGATCTTAAAAAGGCTCATGAAATAGCCCCTGAAGACAAAGGTAAAATAAAACTGTTTCGTCATAAAATCTGTTAAGAATTTAACAATGTATGCAGGGTAGTATTTAGTAGGAATTTATACCAGCGTGATGCCTAAAATGTTGGCTTCTTAAACACTGATGTATTGAGCACAAAGCCCACTGAGGTGGAAAACCTGGTTTTATACAGCGAGTGATGCTTCTGTTGCACTGGAACACCTACTTATGTAGGTCAACAGCATTCCTCTTGAACCGTGTCCCTATCTCCCAGGGCTCTTACTAGCTTAGTTTCCTGGTCAAAGTGGATGAGATTTTTAGCTCATAAATTCTGTGTCAGCACCAATACTGTGCTTGCTATACACTCCTCTACGTAGTGACCTTACCAGATAACACAGGGTCAGGGACAAGGCTTTTTGCTGCTACTATCTGACCTAATCCAAGGTTGAATGCAGTTTTATTAAATGAAATAACGTAAGTTCGCTCCAGCATTGTGACCTGGTCTTAAACTATTAGGAGACCTAATGTAAGTGATTACTGTAACTGTCATGATTTTTCTTTTTAATCAGCTATCCAGACGGAAACACTCAAAATCAAGCAGAAGATAAAAGCCCAAAAGGAGAAAGAGAAAGCAGCTTATGCTAAAATGTTTGCTTGATTTTTTTCCTAAACATTTAAATCTATGCACTAACTCATGCAAAAGGATAAACAGAGCTGCTTCTTTCATTTGCTCTCTGCTGCAGTTTTCAGTGTTTACAACACAAAAAGTCTAATAATAAAGACAAACTATTCAAAGATGTTGTGGTTTTCTTTTTTTTTTTTCAGCTGTAGTAACTTGTGTTTTGCAACTCAGTAGTGGTTGTGTTTTCCCAGCTTAATAGTGCTTCCTAAGAAGCACTTCACACTAAGACGATTTAGGCATTTTCTTAGTAGAGTTTTTATTAGAGAAGGCCTGATTTCTTGTAAGGAATAAAAATGGTAGACATAGAATGAAGGTGCAAGTATTATTTTTTTTTAAACCACATTACAGGTTGTATTCCCTATTAACATCAGGAAAAAAAATCTAACTGTAAATTTGATGTAAAATGTGTAACACTTAAAAGCACTGACAAGTTTCTAGACTGATGTATTTCCCTGTCCGCAAGGTAGGATTACATATAGTAAATCACTCCAGCTAGAGAGAGAAAAAACTTTTAAGGGTGGGTACTAAATTCTTCCATTGTAAGCACAATTCTGGATATGGCTTGTTATCACTGAACTTCAGCAGTAAATCCAAGATCCGAAGTTCCTTTATCAGTACTAAGAAGAACTTAAGTCTTCTGCCTGCCATACAACTCCTGTAAAGAAGTCCTATTTAAATAAGGCTAGGGTTTAATCAGAAGGCACCAATTTTCCATTTAATGCAACAGTCACATGTAAAATCCAGAATGGCATGTTAGTCTCAAACTCTTAACATTCGAGTCAGTGCTGTACATAAATTACACTGCAGCATAAAATACTCCAACATATTTGTTGGCGATCAGAAGTCACTGAATATATGTGTCAGTTTACATCCCATTATAAGCTGGTCCTCCTCCACCTTCAGGCACTACCCAGTTAATGTTCTGACTTGGGTCTTTAATATCACATGTTTTGCAGTGGACGCAGTTCTGAGCATTTATCTGCAGCCTTGATCCTTCTCCTGTTTCCAGAGGAACAAACTCATAGACTCCTGCAAAGGACCAAAAGAGCCATCAGTTCACTGAACAGTTTCCCCCTCCATGTATGCTCTAGTACTTATCAGCAAGTATAATGAGGGATGGATATTACTAGTGTGATTCAACTGCCTTCTTCCATGTTTAATAGTTATTTCAGTATGAAAGTACTGTTAACATACTTTACAACCTGCACTTGAACCCCCTTCTAGGAGGAGGATTGGGATAGAATGCTTGAAGTAGTAGGCCACGTGGACTCTTCCTGAAGTACTTAGTCTTTGATCTTGCAAAAACAGCTGAGACATTTTTGTTACCTACCTGCTGGACAAAATCTTTGTTCCGGTCCATCAAATACAGCCAGATTCTTGCTCACAGGGACACTGTCATCTTTGAGAGTTAAATGTGCAGGTTGGTCATGTTCATGGTTTGTACCACTTAAAGCCACAGATGACAGGAGATCAAAACTGATTTTTCCATCAGGCTTTGGGTATTCAATAGGTGTGCAATCTTTGGCTGGCTTGAGCTGAGCAAAATCTGGTCCTAAATATATTTTTAATAAATAGATTTCAGTACAGAATTACTGTAATTTTCAGTTACTCAAGAACAATTTTACTAAGCTATTTTCCCTGTCATCAGAATTAAGTACTTCATAAAAGATAGTATAGTTTTTTGTCTCATGAAAAAGGCTGTTATACTAAGCAGTGTTTTAATGTCTTAATTTACATTATATGGTAGGTAATATGACAAAGTCTGCTTTAATGCCTTATAATCTGTTTCTTTTCTGCACTTCAAGGCCTCACCACTGGACCAGATGTGCATTAGCTTCAGTGAAATTACCTGGATGTTTTAATGTCCATGGTTCCATTCCTCTCAGTAACCAGTAAAATATACCCGTGTAAATCATTCCTCCATACACACCAAGTACGGTATGGCAGGATGGTCGGATGTTTCTAACCGCATACAGCTCTTTCCAGACCCAGGACTTTTTCAGGTTCTCCTCATACTCTTGCACATGAAGTCCTAAGGCAGTACATTACGTGTTAGGTACCTACAGTACATCAAGACTATCCTTGAAATAAAAAAATAAATTCTGAATAAAGGCAACTGCTAGCAATCAAGTCAGCAAAATGAGAATTTCAGAATCATATTCTAGGAGTATACTAGACAACATGTTTCAGCCTCATGAAGAGACCTGTTTTGTTGGCAGGTCTACTGCTCCTTTTAGAAGCCTCTTATATGAGCCACAAGCAGTACTGAATTACTTCAAACCTCCACAAAATATAATCAGCCAGGTGGCTACATTGGTGCCTCTGTGGAAAAACAGCTCTCGCCCTGAGCACTGACCAGGAGCATTTACCTGTGATCTAAAGCCAGGTTTGCAATTCTAATGTCAGATTCAATATCTTCTTCCTTAGAAGTTCTGCAACCACAAACATTCCCATTTCAGTAACTATGCCTATGGCCCACTGCATGAACTAGTGCTAGAAAACTTTATTTCTCCCTTTGTAATCAACACATTAATGAGATATATTTGACTACAAACTCTTCGATTGTAGTCGACAATCAACACTGGACACTTGACACATCTACTGCAGTGTAGTTAAAAGTCATGTAATTATCTTGGAAAAAAATTTTTCTTCAAATGAAAATTGAGAGCTTCCCCTTCACTATTCTCCATTACTACTGTATAGGAATAAATGTTCTAAATAACCAGTTTTAAGCCTTGTCTATACATGAAAAACATGCTTCAGTCTGTATTTCCCATCTCATACGGCTCTGAAGAAAGCCCATTATCTCTGCCAAGTGAAGCAAGTATTAATATTCCAGTCTTGACAAAAGTGGAAAACAGCATATAAAACCTGTCCATAATCACACAAGACTGGCACACTACCCATCAAGAATGTTGATAGTTTCAGATGGATTCTAAGCATTTTAACCTGTCTAGCAGAAGTTTTAATTGTTCAGCATACCTTCTGTGTATGGCATGTTTCAGCTGAATGAGATGAAAGCTCATGAGGTTTGAATGCATCAGTACAAAGAAGAGATTTCTAATATAATCATCGTGTGGCACCTGGCTATAGTGTCCATCTCCAAAATTACTGAAATTCTAATTCTCTCTCTGTACAGTCTTTGTTAACACATGTAAGGGTACAACCAAGGTTTAAACTAGTCACTACAAGGTGGTCAGGACCAGGTGATTGTTTCAACGTGCTTGCATTATGTATAAAATGAAATACACAGTCTCAAACTGAGACAACGATAAGATTAAAAGACAGGAAAAAAGGACTGAATGAAAAAAGCATCTTAACAAGAGCGAAGAGCAAATTTGAAAAATCTCACCTTGTTTTGCTTACATTTAATCTGTTCCTTTTTTTATCTCTCCACAGTCTTTCAGTAACACTTTCTGAATCATAAAGCACTAATTTTTAACGTTTGTAGGAACAAAACATATTATTCTTGTTTACTTATACAGGAAGCATAAGCTTTTCGGATGGTACTTAGAGGTGTATTTTTGTTCTAGCAAACAGTAGGATAAGTACTTAAGAATAACTGAGCAAAACTGTATTAATTTCTTTCTTTTTTAAATCATTTAACATTATTAATAGTAAATTAACAATAGATATATTTTAAACACACGTCTTAGCCACACTGAGTTACTGCTGTTAGCTGTTGGTAGTTCTAATTGAACGCAAGGTAATTACAACTCAAAGTACAGTGATCTTACCTATTGTCTTTGATTGGAGATTTTCATTGATTAATTGACTAAAAATTGCTTCTGAAGCCAACATGCCACTTTTCATTGCAGTATGTGTCCCTTTGATCTTAGGAACATTCATGAGTCCAGGACTGCAACCAATTAATAATCCACCTGGGAAGGTGAGTTTGGGTATTGACTAAAAACAGAAAGAAAGGTGGTTTGTTTGTTCTTGTTTTTTAAATTGAAAACAACATTCTAGAAATTAAAATGGCACAAGGCTTGAGTGTCTTTTACATTTTCAGACTTGCATGTGCACTATTTAAGCATACACCAGAGATACTCCACTTCATCAAGGAATTTTAGCATAGTATGCATATAGGAATGCAGGCATTGTACCTGCACTGAGTGTGACAGAATGACATTTTCCTTATATCCTCTCTCCAGCTGCTTTATCTGCAACAAGACTCGGGTAATGTCACCCACTGATACTGTTTTGTCCTTCAACTTCAAGTGAATTCTTTTTAAAAAAAAACCAAAACAAAGAAACCTCATTTGTTTCCCCGATTTTCACATAGTAAGTTGTACACATCTTACCTCACAGTGCCTTTTTTCCACAAATCTTGTTCTATGAAACCGCATGTTCTTGTTCTATGCCCTGCCTGTCCTCCTCCCCCTTATTTTAGAAGTTGCTCAGCAGCCAACAAATGTATTTTGGTGTAAAATCATCATCTTACTCCCATTCTGTAAGCATAATGTCATTGAGTACAGTCAATTCACAAACCTAAGACAGTCAAATGATTTGCAAATACCATGTCTGTACTATTAATATACTATGTTATACACCTATATTAAGGAATACCTTAATATCAAGGTAGTTATTGTTACCCTCATCCAATGAGACTAAGATTTTAGACAGGGACCATCTTCAAAACGTGGACTGATAGCAGTACTTTTTAGCAGAAAGCAGTGATCAAAGCCTCAGTTTCAAAACTAAAGGTAAGTTTTGAACACAGCCTCCCTCCAAAGTCTTTAGTACTGAGCAGTGCTTATGAATCTAGCATCCTGCTTTTATTAAAACTGCCTGAAAGAATTAATTTTGTAATGGCCTAAATAACTTGACCCCAAACAAGTACTTTTATTTAATGAAAAATGTTCAAAAAAACATATCCCTCAGAATTCAAGATAACCCAAAACAAAAATTTTGTTTCCTTCTGCTTGTTCCGTTGTTACCTGCTTACTATTCACCCAGGACTGCTTGCTTTTAAATAGTCATACAGGAGTCTCTAAAAAAACATTGTACTACACAGCATTTCATTGCTGTGACTGTGTTTTGCACAGTTTGTTTAATCACAGACTTAGTGCTCTGGTTCATAGGAAAGGTAATTTAGGCTGAAAATACAATTACAAATTACAACTTTTCTGGGAGCTGAATTTTTAAGTTCAGCTACATAATAGTATTTCAAAGGGATTAAGTATGTAGGATGTCCTCTCTTTTCACAGAAAACAGCCACTCTGTTATATCTATTAGGATAAAATAATGCAGCACTGACATAAGCATAGAAAGATTTCTTGACTGACTCTTTGAACTGCATAAAAAGATGATGATCAAGTACTTTTCTTTTGCAACTACTGTTTCACTTAATATGCACAGTGACCAACATACCGTTAAAGAATAAATGAGATTGAAGATCTGTCATATAACGCAAAAGCTAGTATATATTGCAACTTTGTTAGGAATTCTCATTATTAGTACTATGGCACTTGGTGCCTGTTTCCAGTTGAAGAAATACATTGTGCCAGTATGGCACAAGCCCTCCCTGCCCCTGAGATACAGACACCAAACAAGGCTGGTTTGGAGGAAGGCAGGGAGACACATGCTCCCTACAGTCAGTCCTTCCAGCAGACAGGAAACCTCACGTTCTTCCTCCCCTGAGCTCAGCTCAGGGCTTAAAATCTGTTAAGTGAGTCTAATATTTGACATTTGAATGGGTTATCAAAATGAAGGTTTTTTTCCCCCCTGATATTCATAACATACACTGCTCAACCAACAGCAACACTTTCTGGTTTTTTTCACAAAACTCTTAAACCTTTCCAAAGTTTTTGATAAAATGGAGACAAAACAGAGGGTGCAATTTTAATAAACGTAAGAAATAGCAGCTATGTAGGTGTAGACTACTAAACTCTGTTCCCTCCTTCCACATATCCCAAAACACATCCAAGAGCGTGCACTAGCGTGCTCTCGCTCGCTCTCTGTTAAAGACTGAAGAACATGGTCATAAGGTTATCTATAACAGACAAAAAAAGGCTGAGATTGATGGCAATTCTAAACACCTATTTGATGCAATACTGTTACCAAATTCAAAAAACTGGAGCTACAGGATGACTTACATAAGAAAATATTCCTGGACTACAGTGATGCAAATGAGTCAGACTGCTACAGTTATTAATTGAGACAACACATGCAAAAGAAGAGCTAATCTTGAAACTCTTCGTAAATGAATCATCAATAAAGCTTCTTTTTACTGAAGGCATGTATTAAGTCTTTTAAAAACATGACTGCATGATTAACTAGACAAATCTATCTACAGAAAATAAAGAAAAAACCCAAAACACAACAAAACAAAACATGTTTTTATATTAGGAAAAACACAAAGTAAGGGTGTTGGTTTAAGTCTAGCAAAGAAGTCCAAAGATTAGGCAGAGATGCACAAGAACTGTAATCCTATTGACTGTGTAACTTAGCACAAACAATGTCTGTAAGTGACTTAAAAAATACTATGTTCTTCTAGCCATATGTTTTGAGCAGTATAAGGATGCAACTGAAGTCGCAATCTGGCTACTTCACCAAAGCCAGAAATTCAATGATTATCTATGATACAGAAACCACTGCACAGGGTGGAAAAAGAAGCTCCTCTTGCATAAAAGTGTATATTAAAACATGTTGGTATTTTGTATTGTATATGTGTTAATAATGGAGGGACAATGGTTTCTGAAATAAACCAGTAACACAGCTGTGTTGCAACGTGGTATGACATATTTCTACTAGAGAGTGCACAAAATCAACCCTCAGATTTACTAAATGTGTATCACATGTAATTAAGAAGTTGCTTCATGAACCCACATGATCACTAGTAGGTATGCACACTGGGGTCAAAGCCTAACTCCACATGACTGTGACAAGAGTTACACTGCTGCTGAAATTCCACTTGTATCGCAAAAACTACATGAAATTATATTTATACTAAGAAAAAAAGGTTCAAAAAGGAAAGACAAAGTAGAGAGCAGAGTGAAATGTACCCACACACAAGGTGCAGATCATGAACACTCAGTTTTAAGCTCCAGGTTGAAAGAAGCATCTAGAAGATGGATCTGGGAGCACATGACACAGAGCCATGTCCTGTGTTCCAAGATTCCCACATGAAAAGCTAATAGGTTGAAATTTAAAACTGTTAAATATAAACTAGATTATTTTTTTCTGCAAGCTGTTCCAGCCATTTCAACTGACCTTAAGTCTTGATGAATACCTATTCAAAATTGTACCTTTTAGACTCCTTAACGGAACACAATGAACAAAGTATTCCACCTCTCAAGAAAGCAGAAATTCAAAATTGTCCATGAAAGATACTCAAGGTATCTGTACTTGAGGAGTTAAAGATTCACCTCACTAACTACATTACAATTTCAGCACCATCAGTGACTTAAGGGTCAAGCACTGCAAAGAAGTTCCCTCTGCTGTGCTAAGTAATAGGGAAGACATGCCTCCCCAAACCCACAAGAAGAAGAGATGAGTGGTGCTACCCTGTCTTCCCCAAGGTTTCAGGCACAACAGAAGATTGGCTGTACTGTCTTTGCTGCTGAACACACTTGACTGCAATATAAATTCCACTTCACTGACTGCTCATGGCTTGGACTAGCAGACTCTTTGCTGGGTAAAAAATTTTCTGGATGGCCAGGCCCAAAGAGTGGTGGTGAATGGAGTTAAATCCAGCTGGCAGCTGGTCACTAGTGGGGTTCCCCAGGGCTCAGTTCTGGGGCCAGCCCTGTTTAATACATTTATCAATGACCTGGACGAGGGGATTGAGTGCTCCCCCAGTCAGTCCTCAGATGACACCAAACTGAGTGGGAGCGTTGATCTGTTGGAGGGCAGGAGGGCTCTGCAGAGGGATTGGGACAGGCTGGATTGATAGACTGAGGCCAACTGTATTGAGAACCAACGAGGCCAAGTGCTGGATCCTGTCCTTGGTTTAAAATAACCCCATGCAGTACCTCAGGCTTGGGGCAGAGTGGCTGGAAAACTGCCCAGCAGAAAAGGACCTGAGGGTGCTGGATGACAATGGCTGACCATGAGCCAGCAGTGTGACCAGGTGGCCAAGAAGTTCAATGTCATCCTGGCCCTTATCAGAAATAGTGTGGCCAGCAGGACCAGGGAAGTTATTCTTCTCCTGTACCTGACACTGGTGAGGCCGCACCTCAAGTACTGTGTCCAGTTCTGGGCCCCTCACTACAAGAAAGACATTGAGGTGCTGGAGTGTGTCCAGAGAAGGGCAACAAAGCTGGTGAAGGGTCTGGAGAGTAAGTCCTCTGAGGAGCAGCTGAGGAAGCTGGAATTGTTTAGCCTGGAAAAATGGAGGCTCAGTGGGGACCTTATTGCTCTCTACAGCTACCTGAAAGGAGGTTGTAGCCAGGTGGGGGTTGTGCTCTTCTCCCAGGTAACAAGTGACAGGATGAGATGAAATGATCTCAAGTTGTGCCAGGGCAGGTCTTGGGAAAACTTCTTCACAGGCAAGGTTGTCAAGCACTGGCACAGGCTGTCCAGGGAAGCAGTTGAGTTAACATCCCTGGTCGCACATAAAAGGTGTGTAAATGTGGCACTTGGAGACTTGGCAGTACTGGGTTAATGGTTGGACTTGATTATGTAAATAGTCTTTTCCAACCTAAATGATTTTATGATTCTGTTTCACTTATAAAGTAAATGACTATGTCAGATGATTTTCAGTATGACAGAGCCCAAGTCTAGCAAATCTCAGCAGCCAGTACCCAACAAGATAACAAGGCTTTTCTGTCCAGAAAAACTTTTGGCACAGCATGGAAACCAAATCTACAGCACTAAATACATGGCTACAGAGAACTCAAAGTTAAAAACCTCATGAAAATATTACCTGGAAACCACCTTCATTTAGTGCTCTGGCACCATAGGCAATCCTTGTTCCGCCCTCCAAAGTAGGCTGTACACTAGGATGGTGCTTCCACCTCTGAAATTCCCTAAATGGATTCAAATAGGGATTTTGATAATCTAAACCAACCTTAAAAGAAAAAGGAAAAAGTGCAACATTAATGAAAAAGAAATATAAAACTTAAAGAAGAACAATCGCATATTACCACGTCAAGTCTTTATTTTATATTAAACCAATCTCAGAATCTTCCTATTTAAAGAAAATGCTGCCAGAAATACATTCTATTAACAATACAGCAGAAGCAGATCTGAAAATTTGCTGCTCTCAGCTCCATCTAGAAATAAAAAACTTAATTGCATTGTAGCCACCTTTCACCTGTCTTTGAAATAAAACAAATTAAATTAAGCATGGTTTAGTAGGTGGGATAAGCAAGAAAACTTGTTTTAAAGTTGTGTTTCATACCTCTGCTCTAAAAAAGATGGAAGGAGAGGTAAACAATTATTTTTTGATCATTATGTCCTTGTGCTCATTTATTTTAAACAGTTCTTCGCACTGTTTAGTAGTCAATTATAATTTCCAATTAGGTAAGCCATTGTAATAAAGCATAGAGGAGCAATGATGAAAGCAGAAAATTGGAGAAAAAGGACTTTGCCAACTGGCTGGATGCCCAGAATTCTTATCCTATGCATTTGAGAATTTGCCCAGATATACTCTGCATTTCCCATTTTTAATATACTCTTAAAAGGACTTCTGTTGTCGAATTTTTCTCTTTTGAGGTTCCAGTGAGCTTTACTTGAGACAAATAACAAAATATATAATGATACATTTAATGATATATATATCACGATTCAGCAACAAACAGGACTTTTTTTCAATATTTTTTACAAAATGGTTAGACAAAAATACTGTTTTCACCCCACACACACTCTGGAATCCTTCTGAAAGGATTTTAAGGTCTCTCTTAAGAGAGACCAAAGTGTCAGCTCAGTCTCATGCTGCTAAAAGTCCATTTTGAGTACTCGACTCTTAAAATGTCTGCGTGTGAAGCACATGCACAAGATAAATAGTGAATGTTTCTTTTAGGACTGCAGGTGATATTTCCAACCATTGCTCGTTGCATCAGTTGGCCTGCCAGAATGACACCAGCCTGTCTCTAGTGATCTCAGTACTTCTGAGAAAGAGGCAATAAGAAGGAAGAAGCTGCCTGCCCAATTCAGAAAGACAGTTTAACTGCAGAAAGCAAGGCCAACGGGGATAAGAATAATATGAACAAAGTGAAGAGCTCAGAAATGGAAGTGATGCTGCTTGTGGAGCTGCAGAGTGCTTCTACTTTATATACTTCTCTCATAAAGTGGAGTTGCACCTGAGGCTGACACATGAATTGGGAAATGGAATTGTATGAAGTGCATGTGATTTAGAGATTGTCTAACTTCCAAAAATTTTGTGAGCACAACTTTGATTAGTCATTTGGTTTTGGCTTTACAAAAATTTACTTGGTTTGCAAAAAAAAATTATTCATAAGTTTTCTAGTTGGTCTTAATAAAAGACACTAAAGACAAATTAATATGACAAATAAACCTTCCCTAATATGAGTATAAGTGCATTTAAGATTAAGAAAATACTAAATTTGCTCTGTTGCTATTCTTGTGTTTTCATTTTTACATTAAAACAGAGAAAAGAAACTTCATAAAAATGAAGATCAAACAACAAGCAAGCATGAAAAACCTAACTTCACTTACCACAAATCCAAGAGCAACTAAAGGTTCACCCTCATTTAAGTGATAAAGAAAGGATCCTCCATATGTATGTCTGTCTAAAGGCCAGCCTACAGTATGTTCTACTCTTCCTGGTTTCCATTTCTTTTCATCAATAGTCCATAACTGAAATGAAGATGACCAAAAAATTACTTTAGATTGCAAAGTAATGGCCTTTCAATAAATAATAAAAGACAAACACACGATTACATGTAGAATAAAATTATTTACTGCTATGACCAATAATATAAATAAATGCATACAGCAAAATATCAAGTAATAAATATACCTTTTTAGATTACCATTTAAGATTTTCCCAATACCTCTCTTGCTTGAATTGTTGCATATTAGAAAATGTGACATACTCCAGTACTACACCCAAAATTTTCATTCAACCACAAGATGCCTTTTACCACTGACTTTGACAGATCCTTCTGCTACAGAAAGCAATGCTTACATTGACTTTCTTTTCTTTAAAAATGTTGTATTTTTGTATGATTGTATGAATTATCTTGCAAGTTTTTCAAGGTCGTGCTTAACAATATGCCTGAGTTGATCTAAATATTTTCTGTCAAACAAATTGTCCTCTCTCTGCTCTCTCCTACACATCTCCAGTGCTCCACTGACCCATGGTGAACTCACAGAAGCATTTTCATGTTTCCATTCGTGAGTCAATTTTCTGCTCATTTCACAAAATGTCTCTTCACCATGGAGTTCTGTGCCAGGCAGAGTCTAATGGCAGAAGGGCAGCTGAGCACTGTAAGATCAGCTCAAGCATGGAGGATGCACCTACATTAATGCTGCAGTTTAGATTAAGGAGCACATTTTGGAGTGGGACTTCTGTTTCCTCCCACTTACTGCACTTTTGTTCACATTGCAGAGCAACCATGGAAGGCGTGAACTGGATTCCTTTCACATGGAACTAAATTGTATGACAGGGTCCCAAAAGCCCACCTAGAGTATTCCAGTGAAGAAAGGGTACTCAGTCCATGGGACAAGATCACAGCTAGTCCAAAGTAAAAATAAACCTGAGATGTGCATAGTACAGATGTCAGCTCATCAACTATTTCACTTTACAGATCCATTCCTATTGGACTGCCCCATTTGCTAAAGCAGACAGTCTCATATGGAAGCAAGAGAACTCCACAGGAAAACCCTGCTTTAAGAACAACTTCAGTATTAAAAACTGTAACTAAGATTATGTCATACATTTACAGAGTGGTTATTCTCTACAGAAGCATAAACTAATGATTTAAAAAACATTTTGTAGCTGTAAGCACATACTTAAAGTAATAAAAAATATGTTATAGTCAAACTCTGAACATATTCTGCAATAATACAGCTGTTTTTCATGAGTGATATTTCCAGTGTATAGAATATTTTCAAAAGGAAACCTCATCCCTATCCTAATTTAATAAGCCCAAGAAAAGGATTTTTTTTGAAAGAAAAATTTTTAATTCTTATGTCTTACACAAATTAGCTTGAAAGCAAACAGAAGCTACCTTAAATCTTCACAGTATTTTCCTTATTTGTTAAAATTATGCAAGTGATACCTCTTTCAGTCCAATGCCATAGCTCTGGGGTTGACATTTTTCCCTTAGATTGTATTTTTTGTACATCTGTTTGGCTAGATGTCCATGACAACCTTCAGCAAAGACTGTGACTTTAGCATGGAGTTCCAAGCCTCTTTCAAAGGTAGCCTGCAAAAAGTACAGCATTTCATCAGCAGTTACATCAGTGCCACATCAAATTCAGAGCAAGAAAATGGAGAGCAATGAAGTGATTTTACACTACTTCATGGCATAGCTCTGAATCTACAAACCATTGCAAATCATGGCTCTAGTCCAGCTGTTTTTTCCACGATGCACTCCTGGCAAGTCATGCAAGGGGACTGCAGTAAAGCAGCACTGCAGTGAACAGCCATTAGTCACTGAAAAAGAGAATCTTTTCCAGATTGGAGGATACTTATATTACATCTGCTCATTCATAGGGTGCAAAGGAACCCTGACGGAACAAACAAACTGTTCCCATAACTTCACACTTTAATTTTTGCTCATAAAGTCACATTACAATAAAACACTGTGTGTGTCCCCACACATATGATAGAGACTAGACAGAACTTCCACATCTGAAAAATCTGCATCGCCCATTATATTTGCAATGTAAGGAGACAAGACTGTAAATATACCTAATCTCTTTATACAAATTTTTTATGAAGAAAAAAGCTTGATTTCAGTCAGAAAGTTTAATGTTAAAAAATACAGTGGAAAGAGTTTTGGACGAAGGTATCCAGCAGTACCCCACAGAACCGTCTAAACCATCTCAAGGTAAGACAGCATAGGTCCAGGAGAAGCTTACTGCTTGGTTTTGAGTTGTCTCTCACTTGCTTGTAACTTACTGGTTGGAAACCTCTGAAGAAGATTGGCAAATAAAAATCTTCCCTCTAGTTGGGAATTACCTTTAAACAACAGTCACAAGACTTTGCCATATTTTTTGTATTCTTTGAACCTGAACATGAATTAATCTTACAAAATACTATATACTGTTCATTTTAAAGCAGATTTACATAAAATAAATCAACTACAAATGTCGACATTGTAAATATCAGAAACTAATGAATTTGAAATGTTTCAGTAATGTGACAGAGTTGTATTTCACAATTAATGTCCTTCTCCAGTATCTACATAAGAATCAATGTGCAACTTTTTACAATCAATGTTTTCCCACTGTAATTTTTGTTTGGTTGGTGCTGACTGCAAGGTGGAACTCTATTCATTAACCACAGTCTATTTGATTAGGCTCTCTATAAACTCACTGAAGATACTCTTGCCTTGAAGGTTACAAAACTCCATCTATTTACCTGAACCTTTATGCACTGAAGCTAGTATCAGCTGACCTAACTGACAGTGAAAACACTTGAATACTCAAAAAGCTGCAGTAGTGGCACACTAATTATTCTATTAAAGAAGTTAATAGCCACATTCTTCCAGAAAAAACTATGTTTTGAGAACGTTAAAAAAATATAACTAAAATCGTTCCTTCCCATTTTAAAACAAACCCAAACTCCCAAAAAATCTTTATTCCCGCAGTGAGCTGTACGCTTTACTTGCGCCCCCTACTGGAAAAAATGTGCACTGGAAAATAAGAGCATGTCTGTTCCCTACAGCAGATGGACAATATTACACTGGAAAAATAACTTACTTTTCCCTGTCACCACTTCCTCTTCCCTTGGCTATATTCTCTCAAAACAAGAATGAGTCTTTTCTTCTCATGCCCTGAATTAAATGGGAAAAATAGCCCACACTTTATGTGAATGTGAATAACTCTTTGAAATTCATGTAACTAGACAGAAACCTTGTAAAAGAAGGTAAATCTTAAGAAAAAACTTGTACTCCTAATTTCTGCAGTCAAATAACTTTATGTGAAAGTTGTTCTGAGTTATTCTGATGCGACAAATTCTCCCTACATATTACACAGGGAAGCAACACACTTTGGGCACATCCTGGATTCCACTAAAAAAAAATTAAAAACAAAATCAGTCCAAATCTGATACTTAGGGCAGGGAGTCACCTTCTGGATGCAGAAACATGAACTAGCAAAAAGGTATAAAGGTTCAATGTGCACCTTCCCCTAACTAGGCAGACAGACTGTCAACAAATGCGACTGCAGTTGTAAATATCAAAGAAACCAAGTCAGCCAGAAGCACACTCTCTTACACATTGCTAGTTACCAGCTGGACTACAGCTTTCTATTTCACCTTTGCACCTTTTTTCTAGGAGTTCCTGGAGTTCTTTCCTTTTGTTTCCTGATTTCACATATGCCAAAACACCCTTACAATATTTCCTTCGAGTCACCCTTTCTGCAAAAGCTTCTTCTACTAATTTCAGAAGAATTTTACAACATTCCGAAACCAGAACTTTCACAAGTAATCAGTCCAGTTAAATACAGAGAAAGAAGACAGGTACTGAGTTTTACACTTTTTCTTATACTGCAGCAAGACTACTGATGGCAGTACAAGCAGATATATCACAATTTCCATAAATAAACCCCTAGGTATGGGGAAGATAGATACTCACTTTAGGTGCTCCATCCTTCTGAATGCCTACGTCATTAGTTGCTATCCCTTTCACGCTACCATCTTCATGGAAAAGAACCTTTGGAAATATTTAAAACAAAAACCATTTTAATGATCTGCCATTTTAATCCATTCATTAAAAGTTCTAATGCAGAACTTCTAAGCACTCTGACTTTAATGGTCAAACATGAAGATTATGTATTTATTCACATAGTGTACGACCCACTTGCACTTTGCTGGATCTGAACCAGGGAATCTAGACACTGAAACATGGTTTTCATAATATATATCTGTTAAAAAGAAATGTTCTGCATGTACAAATGATTGTGACTGCTCTGAAGGGGGTTTCAAAGCCACTTTTCATATACGCACACTGATGTCATGAGTACCTCAGCTGCTGCATAGCCTGGATATATCTCAACACCCAAAGCTTCTGCTTGTTCACCTAGCCAACTCACAAAGTGGCCCAGACGTACTATGTAATTTCCATGATTAACCATCGGAAGTCCTAGGCAAAAAAAGACACACACACATAAAACATAGGACACCAGGCAAAATAACTGATGCTGTATACATCAGACATCACATCTTCTACAGCTACTATCTTCCAAGTAATGTCATGTGTTATCACAGCCATCATCTACATAGACTGTAACCCTGAAAGCTATTACATTCTACATACACTTTCTGTACTATTGATTCATGGAAAAGTTGAAAAAGACACGAAGAAAGCTGACTCTCTACTCCCTTGCTAAACTTTACCTGGAAGAATTGGCACCGGAATTCTAGATGTCTCTGTTAAAATTCCAAACTTGTCTTCAGTTACAGGAGTTTTAAGTGGAGCCTACAAAAAAATGAAATAGAAAAAGAAGAGAGTTATGTTTTTCTAGCCAATTCAACAAAAACAACAACAAACAAAATCAAACAATTGAACTGGTAGACAAGTACAGGTTAAGTACAGCACTTCTATAGGAAGGTACCACAAGAGAGAAGACAAAGTACTTAATGAGGCAGTCATCAGGAAAGAATCAACACTCAATATTCTAGACCTCTCTAAAGAACACGGCTCAACCTGCTTATTTACCACAGTAAGACAAAACAACTAGTTGATGTCTAACTTCTTGCAGCTCCCAGGTGATAGCAGGCAGTTGGCTGCAACTCAGATGGCTGTTCTGGTAGAGACGGCAGCTTATTTTCTGCTATCCTCCCTCCTAAAATCATCTTAGGCCTTCATTACACCACAGTGTCTGCACAGAAGTCAGTGTACTGTGTCCCATTTCCATGAAGAACTATTGTACAGAAGCAACAAGTCTGTCACCGGTAAGAACCGAATATCTTCCTTCCTGCTTGTGCACAGGAGCTGGATTCTGCTCAAAGGCAGAAAGTGCAGGTCACCCTAGGATGCACAAGACATATTGTATATATGCAGTAAGACTACTAGAGAAAAGAGCAAAAGCCACAGCATATCTGTATAGACATAAAACTTCTAGCATTGTCAAACTAGAGGAAACAGACTAAAATGAAGGCAGCAGTTTTTTGTTTTGTTAGATCAATGTATTTTATAATGGTACTAATTACTAATTGTACCAGGTACTAAGTCATAACAGAATGAGTCAGGTATGGAGTTCATTACAAGCTAGAAATTAATTTCAGTGTTTATGTGCTCATACATACCCCTCGCTCCTTCCAGTCTGGAAAGAGTTCTTCTAAGGACCTTGGCTCAAGACAGGCACCAGACAATGTATGGGCACCAATCTGAGAAGCCTTTTCCACTAGACAAACACGTATTTCTTTGCTATGCTCAGCAGCCAACTGTTTGAGTCGAATAGCTGCAGAAAGGCCTGCAGGGCCTCCTCCAACAATGACAACATCAGCTTCCTCTGCAAATCTTTCCATGTTTACCCCTTCAATAGAAAAAAAATGATAATAACATAAACCAATCTCCAATTACTTCCAACTTCTCTCTCACTAAACCTAAACTCTCATGGTAAGAACAACGGAAAAAAACCTAGCAGATACATACTGAACAGAATTAAATCTTCTGATAATCACTAAACCAAAAGCTGCTTGTATATTTTATGAAAACAAACATAAAGTTTAATCTGATCCTGTTTTATAGCACTAAGGACACCAATTTTGAGATAGCAACCAAAAATTTCATTTGAAATATCAGTGCTGTATTTAAGAGTACAGAATTTCCATAAAAAGAAAAAAACAGCAACACATTTCAGTGCCTTTAAAACTGAGCAATAATAATAATAATAATAATAATAATAATAATAATAATAATGATGAAGCTTTTAAAGAACGCAATTTTTCACTTACCTTCCCATCGTTTGTCTTTGTCCCGAGGATGAATTGTGTAGTGCGTAGTTATGCGAGGCACAGAGGCAGTAGATGCACATCTTGAGACACGTGGTGATGGAAGGCAGTCTTTCTTTATCAGCTTAAGAGCACGAAAGCACTGATGTGCTGCAAAACCAAGGAACAAATTTGTCAAATCATTTTTTCCAAATTTTTAAAATTTTCAAGGACGCAAGTGGCACAACAAATATGACAGCTTCCCCTTCCCAAAGATTACCAGGTGATACGAAGATGAGGAACCATAAACATGGATTTTTTAATTTTCATTTTTAAATTAGGAGTATGCTGTATAATTTTATATCAGGGAAAAAATAATGAAAGAGCTTCCCCTTTAAGCATTCTTCACATAGTATCACTCAATACACTGGCCAGTCATACACAGCTGATGTAGGACAACATGTGTGTACAAAGGTGAAACACATTTTATTTTCCTATTTAATTTTGAACTTCAAAAGATTTCTTTCAGACTTCATCAAAAGTGACCAAACAACTGTAGAGACAGGACGTGAAAGTTAGCTCTTCTGACATCTCAACACATGCTGAGACACACAGTCTGGGCTACTAGTACAAGACAGTTCATCTAAAGTAAATGTCATGCTCTACAATAAAAGCACAGACTTAAACCCAAGTATGCTTTAGCCAAAATTAGGAACAGCAGATACAAGTAATCTTTACCTTTGCTGCAGAAACATTAATTGTTGCAAGAACAAATTAGAATTTCTTTGTAAGAAAACAGACCAAATTAAAGCTTCAAATTATCAAAAGAAGACTCTGTTAAGAGGATTATTACATGTTGTAATTTTCCTCTTTCACGAAAAAAAATATATCTGTGTGATCTGTAGTTAAAAAAACCTAGTACGGTTAGTATGAAACCTAGTTATAGTTAAAAGGTCTGTGCACTAATGCACCTTGACAGATCATTTTCCTTCCTTTAAGAATCCTCTTTCTCTATTTTCAGAGGTGAAGAAGAATACACATTTAAAGTAGAGTATTTCTGCAAAACTACACAAGTAAAATGTACGTTCTATGACGTAAATATTTTATTGAGAATGGTGGTTGGCAAGGCCAACATAAACATCCCATGTTATAACTGCCCAGTGACAGTCAGCATACAGGTCTCTATATGCAAAGTAGGAGGTATTATCCATGTTGGTTTCTTAACAGCGATTCTGTAACCAACATAACATAAAAGCTATCTATTCTTATTTATCCTTTACCTGCAACCAAGCAGGATCTGAGAACAAGTATTTTATAAGCATGATAACAAATACACCTATACATATACATTAAAACGTGAAACTTAACTTTTGAGATATTTTTATTTGAGCAGAACTGATGCTACTAAGAATCACATAGTATATTAAAAAAAAATCACTTATTCCACACATATGCAAAAGAAGTGAAACCCGGCTCAGAACATGTCTGATAATTACAAAGATAGGTTCAAACGCTGGACGGTCAGATTCTTCCCCCGTGAGAGACCTGAGCCTGCGCCACAGCGCTACTAGGAGCTCCCGGCCTTGGAACGTGATGGGAAATGCCTGCACGAGCCAAGCGATCCCCAAGGAAAAACTCCGCTCTTCCACAGCTCTTTCACAGCACCTGTCTGGATGCCGTTTCCACAACTCTTTCCTCAGTAAGGGCATGCGTTCCATTGCTTTACTTTACCCTTTAAAACAGGTTAACACCCAGTACCGCTCAAAAAAAATTCCGCAGATCGCTTCACGCACCGCGCTGCAGGTAAATAAAGCACGCCACTACCGCACAGCCCAGGCGCGGGCAGCGCTCACGCACATCCCTGTCCTCTCCTCCCGCCCCGGGAGTGCCTGCGGAAGAACAGAGGCCCCAGGCAGAGCGAGCCCCTGGGACCCCGCGCCCGCCGGCCCCGCTCCAGCCCCGCGTCTGCCTGGACACCCGGGCGAGACCCAGCCGCGACCTTTGCCCTCCTCGGCGCCGCGCCAGCCACCGGCCCCACCCGCCCCGCCGGGCGGTCACCCCAGCCCAGCCCCAGCCCCAGCCCCGCCCCGGCCCCCGGGCGTCCGGGCGTCCGGGCGTCCAGCCGTCCCCGGCGCGGCCCGGCGCGTTACCTCGGCCGGCGGACGGGCAGCGATAGAGCGGCATCGCAGCGAACCCGGGGCTCCCTCCGCCTCCCGCGACCGCCCTGCGCGCACCCCGTGCCGGCCTCCGCCCTGCTGCGCCTGCGCGCCCGGCCGCGGCCCCGCCCCCTCCTGCCGCAGGACTACGGCTCCCAGGGCTCCTAGGGCGCCGCTCAGGGAGCCGGGCGGGCCGACCCGCTCCCGGGGCATTGGCGCGGGAGGCGCTCGCAGGGAGTGGGAGTGCAGGGGGCGGTGCTCGGGCGGGAGGCGCGGCCGGCGGGGGGCTGGCGGTGCAGGAGCGGCGAGCGGGACATGGCCGAGGCGGCGCTGCCTTCACCCGCGGCGGTGCCCGAAGGAGCACCCGGCGCCGAGTCCCAGATGGTCCGCGGTGGGAGCGCGGGGTCGGGGCCGCCGGAGCTGCCCGGCGGCGACACGCGGGAGCTTCTGGAGGAGGTGGAGATGCAGATCGGCGACGTGAGTGGCGGCGCGGGTCCCCTGGGGAGGGCGCCGGGGGTCCCGGTGGGGCTGTTGCCGGGCGCCGGCGACCCCGAACCTCTCTGCCCTTCCTCCAGGCCGCCTTCTCGCTGGCGAAAATCCTGGAGGCGACTTCGGCCGTGTCGGCCCAGGTGGAGGGGCTGGCCACCAAGTGCTCGGAGAACGCCCGGTTCCTAAGGACGTGGCGGGACCTGCTGCGGGAGGGGTACGAGTCCCTGAAGCCCAGCGGGTGAGGCTGAGGCTGACCCAGCCCCGCCGGGTCACGCCGAGCCGCCCGCTCGTGTCCGACTGCAGCGGGGTTCCTTTCAAACCGCCTTCTTTAGGGAATTCACGCCGAGTTTTGTTTGCCCTCAGCAGCTCCCCGTGAGCCCGGATATTTTTTAGAAATACTTGACGATTCGCGTGGATGTTTTATGTAAAAAAATCTTTGTTTCGAGAATAAGTTTTGACTTCTAGACTCCTCGGTGCAGCTCAAGCGATTTCATACTCTCCCGCCTTTTTTTTTTTTTTTTTCCTTATGCTAACGTGGTAGATAGAAAGTTAGTATGTGTGGTACATTCAGAACTCATTATTTGTGGGGAAGTGATGTCCTGTGAGGAAGTATTGTCAGCCCTCCTTTTTAGAGCTGTCACCAGCAGAAACCTTGCCAACTTCAGAGAGACTTGAACTCACTTCATTTTTTCTATGCACACTTTTTCTTCATGTTGAGTAATGGATAATATGGCAAGTTTTGGCTTATTTGTGAGCTTTAGAAAAATCCTATATCCCAGACCTTACTATTTTTAGCAGTATTGCAATGTATGTCTATAAAACTGCAGATTTTTTGCAAGAAGTTTTATTATTGCAAACTATTTTACATTATCTTTTGTTGTAATAAAGTGCCTTATGATGGACCATATATCTCTGCGTGGTAAAAGTTTGACAGCATTGTTTACTGACAGGATGGATTACTTTGAACTGTAAGGAAAAGCTTCCATCAGTTAGAAAAGAATCTGCGACAGGAAGCACCTCAGAGCTTTTTCAGTATTTGGTCCTATTTTTTTATCTTTGCCTTAAGCAGTTTCTAGTTTGTTAGTCTAGACCTTACTGTTATCAGAACCTTTTGGTCTGAAAGAACACTAATCTGTAACTGAAACTCCTGTGCCACACAGAGCACTGTGAAAAAAAGTAATGCTGAAATACAAGGGCAGGCTGCAGGATAACATGACTCTACCATGATTTATTAGTTGGCTTTATTTTTACTGGTAGGAGTCTTAGAAAGACCAACTGTAGTTTACTTATCAAAACAATAAAGATGTTACAAAAATTCTGAAGTATTGACTAGTCTTCTGTTACTGATAGAAACAAAGGTGACATTGACTATAACTATAATCAAGTTAAGTGAAAAACAACTAGTGGTAAGGACAGGGATCCTTGCATGTCTCATCAAAGGCAGTTACAGTCCTTGAGAGGGCTTGACCCCTCAGAGCGTGAAAGGTTTATTGAATCGAGTTATAATTGCTCTCATTAAAGGCAATCCACGTGGCAGGATTTCACTTAGCAGTTTCTAACCCCAGAACCCAAAATGTTGCTAAACAGCTTGGAAAAGAAGTCATTTTGTTCAGCAGATAATATTTTATTTCAATAAAACATACAGTAGTGGAAACAAGATGTTTAACAATCTTCAATTTCAAAATAATCCAAAGTTCTGTAAGCAGTTGAAGTGTGAGTCACACTTTTTCAAAATTCTACTTCTTATACTGTTAAGAAGTTAAGTGCAAACATTGGAAATATCTTTTAACTTAATTTTAAATAGTTTCAAATCATCAATGCAAAAAAAGCATTTCTTTTACCTTTGTGGGCTTCTAGGCCATCAGACTGAGTACGATACTGAAAGAAGAAGGGAAGTTGTAATAATTCATAATGGAAAAGATTCTCTTCAGTAAGAATAGGTGAAGGAACTGCCTCTAGGGGACTGTTTCAGATGGGATAAGTTTTTTTTGGTTTTTTTTTTTTTTTACCCTTGTAATTCTGGGAAAAAATAATGCTCCAAAAACTGCTGAATGGCTGTGGTCTTGAAATTTTAACTATAATACATTCAGTCAGATGCACAAGTTGATTAAATGTAGATGTCATGACACCTGTTAAGACTAATAGTTTTCTATTTGGTTGTCTTCCATGTACAGAGAGAGATATCTTAAGACAGGAATTTGTTGAAGTCTGCAAGCTGTGCTGAGCTACTTATGGTAGCCCATTAAGAAAAGTGAGGAAAAGAGCAGCATCAAGATGCTGGGATACTCAGTCCAGTCTTTCCAGGAACAGATACTCTTCTGAAGGTAGAAACTTCCACCAGCTGTAGCTGGGGGACACTCACTTGAGAAAAACCCCTCAATTTTAGTATTTTCTTTGCCTGGTTCTGCCTGAATTAGAATCATAAAGATCATCTAGTCCCAGCCGCTCCCTGCCCTGGGCAGGGACACCTCCCACTAGACCAGATTACTCAAGGTCTTGTCCAACCTGGAAACTATATTAGAACTATCATTACAACTTCATAATTGTCTTTACATGAGTGAAATAGCTGGTAAAATTATAGAAGGAATACAATTTTCACTTGTTTGGCTCTGACCAATTAGGAAATTGAAATATTTCTCATAAACCTATTGCTCCCTAAAGCTTTTTGAGAGTTGATGCAGCCTAAATAGAGCCAGCCAGAATTCTGTGGTGAAAACACATTTCTTAATGAGGAAATAGGTTAACTCTTAAAAAAATTCAGCTGTTGAAATGGGGAATTAAAAAAAAAATAAAATAGAATAACTTTTCCCCACACACACTTCCCTAGAAACAGATAATTTTGAAACAATCTGTTTTCAGAATGAGATGTTTTAAATGAAAAATAATTTTTTTCCACACTTCTGGCTTCTGGAAGAAAAAATTCCCGAACAACTGATTTCTCATTCTGATCTAGGATGAATTGTCAAAATGTCAGGTACTGCTGTGAGATGGTAAAATTATTGTTGCGTCAGTTCTACCTATACCCAGACATATTGCTCCCTCTTCTTGCCGCAGTGGTTCACGCGAGCCCAAGTGTCACACCTCCCTCGTTTTTCCTCATTGCTGTAAAGGAGTAAGCCCACGGATATGAAGCTAACAGTACCAATGTCACCGTGAGGATTCAGAATGTGTTTACGTGTATGAATTTAGTCTTGTTGACTGTGTAGTCACTGAAGCATCAGAAGAGTCTGTACAAAGCACAGGCTTCGTAACCTTTGGCGTGATTTCATGCATTGGCCACATCTCTACCCAAATGAATGATGGACCATATATTTTCTGGCTGCCTTTACCTCTTTTGGATCTTCTTTGTCTGTAATTGTACCAAACCTGATGAATCATTTCTTTGAAAGGTCGTGTAGTCAAAGTGTAGAGAAGAGGATTCAAAGCACTATTTATTGGCAGTATAAAAATCACCACCCAAGAAGTTATGGTACCTTAGGGAGGGAAAAAGAAAGGCAGCTGTAATATGCATTCCAGAGTTTGTACCCATTAATTAACACAAGCACTTAATGCCTCTGCAGCACAGCTTCCTGGTGAGAGGGGTGGTCATGCTCCCGGGCTGAGCTCTTTTCACAACAGGTACTTTTCTTCTCACTGCCCTCTTACCTCCCTCTGTTTCCAGGACTCCCTGCAAAACCTGACATTTTTTTATTCTCACAGTATTTCTATTTATCCCTCTTACTTTTCTGTGCAATAGCTCCCTATTTACCCTGGCAGACTTATTGTTCTGGCTGAGCCCATTTTCTTGCCCCAAAACTTTTTGTCTCTACTTTGTTCTCTATCTCTTCCTGTGATCTCTGTTCCCCATCCTCTTCACATGATTAGTGGCATGCAGTCTTAACGAGGTCCCCGATGTCCTATCCTCCTGCAAAACAGAATCGTCCAGTCCCTGTATTCCATCGGAGAATGGAATAAACCATCGGAGAAACCATTCCATGGTTTTCTCTTCTGCACCAGGACTACCTGTTTCCTTCCCCTGGAAAGGGCATTGTGTACATCCTCCTTATTTTCTTCTTTTTTTGTTGGCAAGAATTTCTGTGTTCACACCATCTGCCTAAGTCAGTCTGCATTTTTACAACATCCTCTTCTCATCCTTACTGTTTGGGAGATAAGTTACCCAAGGAGCAGGCAGAGAAGGGACAGGATTAAAGTGCTAAAAATTGTTAGTGGGTGCTCTCCATTGCATTGTTTGATTTATAAAACTATTATAGAACTGTTCCAAGAAGCACAAAAAAAAATAATTCCCTCCGTGACACCCCTCTCCATCCCCGTCTCCAGTTTTACAACTTTGTTGCAATATCAATACATTCCTGTCCATGCCTACCACATTGGCTACACTTTTGGAAAACAGCAGATGCTTAGTTCTAAAGCTGTCACAGTGTATCCCCAAAGTAAAACAAATGCTATCAAACAGAGTTTGAAACTTCTGTAAACTCAGACAGCTAGCTGTGATGTCTTTAATTTTATGAACTGCAGAACATTAATTTACTGAACCCAGGATCACCCCGCTATTCATTAAGATTTCTTCAAGATTTCTTGACTCAGAATACTTCTGCTTCTACTTTTCACAATATTTTCTTTCAAATATCTTAGGTGGTTTGATTATTTCACAAAGAAGCATTCTAGAAGATTAAAATAACTGAATATTTGACATAATCAGCATAAATTCAAGATAATTGAAACAGAAGTCAAAACTTTGAATAGGCAACTCCCAACCCTCTTGGTCTGCTATTGCTGATTGCTCACATGTTCATGCTTACGTGTTCTAACAGGGTTTACAAACCCCCCACAAAGAGGCTGTTTTTCTGGCATGTACTGGTATTGCAAAGAGAAGGAAAAAATAAGATGCAATTTTTAATCTTTTAGGTTATGCTATTTTTACGTGGGAATATATTCACAGCATGAAGAAGGTAGACAGAGCTTTATAGAACTCAATGTTCTGAGCTATAATTACCAGTTTGTAAAATACAGTTATTTCAAAGTAAGAGTTACATAGTTAAATCAAGGTAGGAAACATTATAATGTCCTGGGCCATATTTAGGCAACAGAACCAGCAAAAGTCATAAGATGAGAAAAGTCGATACAACTCAGCCTTGGTTTTCAAATACATTTTGTACATTTTATAGATATTATATGGAGACAGACTTGAATGATTTGAATTTTGAAGTTTTTTATCTGACTCATAGGTGGCTAATCTTCGATGATTATAGTAATATAGTTCAATTAAATAGTAAAACTATATAGTCCATTAGATTCTGTGTATATATACATTAAAAACATGAAGTTATATAGTACTATAGTTCATTTTATTAAATTCTTCTGAAGTAGACGCAACACTTCACACAGGCACAGTTGAAACAGCCTCACAAAAGAAAGGACATACCTGGTATTTCTACTTGAAGTAAAGAAAGGAGTTTCAAAATAAAAATAGGTATCCAACATAGTGCATCAGTAAATACAATGAAGAAAAAACGTTTAGCAAGGATCATCTCTTTTTTAATATGATTCCGAATTTCAGTAGCCATAATAGCTGTTTGGTGAACACTGTAGAACATACTCCCATAGGAAAACACAATGATGATAAAAGCTGCCAAGTTTACACCTGTTTAAAAGTTAAAATTTGTTATAATTTAACAGCATAATGGCAATTCTACATCACCTATTTGCAATCTAGGTAATAAAGAAAAATATTTTATCTAAACTCTAGTCCCACAGAATTAAGTGGCCAGAAAATTTGAGTCCTCACCTCAAGATTGAATTTTTGCCTCCACTCAGGTATTTATTTCTGATCCAAACTACAGAGTTCTCCTCTGATCTTACTATTGCTCTACTTCCCTAAAAAAATCTATTAATTCAGGAACTTCATGGTCTATAATTTCTTTCTATTTTTTCGGCCCTTCATGCATTTTAAGATACATAATTACCCATCTAATAGAGTAGAATAGTCTTTAAGTGTTTGCTGAAGCCTCTAAATCCAAGGAGGTGTGAACATCACAGCTATCTTTTTTGTTTGAAAACTAGGTTAATTAGCAACTCTAATCATATATAAAGAAGAAATGCAACTTACCTAAGAAAATGACAACAGAGTAAATCTGACTTCCTGAACTTTCTGATTGTTCTGAGTGAAGAGGAAAACAGACACCATTGGTGCCATAGTAGTTCCTGAAAAATTCCTTATTACTCAGTGGGATGAAAGCAACAGCAAACCCAATTATCCAGATAAGAACCAAAATGGAAATTGTCCTGCATTTTCTGGGCTTCAAACACCTAAAAGGATAAACTATGCAGATGTATTTTTCCAAAGTCAGATATGTCAACAGTAAGACTGACACCTCTGTAGACAGAATAGCCAGCGATCCAACCAATTGACAGTGAATACTGTCCATCCACAACTGAGCGTGCTTGTTGTATTCTCCACGATATTTAAGATCAAAAGCTCCAATCACAAATAAATATATTCCCATCAGACAGTCAGCACCTGTGGGCACAGTGCTTAACATCATTATTTACACATCTGAATTTCCCATTATCTCTGTATATTGGAAAAGAGACATACACACATATATATACGAGTACTTATTTACAAATCAGCTAATAGATATAAAAATCCACATTACAGTTGGAATGCTATTATGAATTAAAATGAAGGTAGTATAATTAATTTTAATGATTTTATAATTTTATTTATTTATTTATTTATTTTTAGTTTTCATTTGGACTGACAGTCTATGTTTCATACTTGTTTCCAACCTGTTTTTTTAAAGCTCAGGTAAAATTGGTTTGCAAGTAGAAAAAGATATGGCTTCATTTATAGAAATATTCTTGCAACCCTTTTTTATTAGGTCTTATTTCTTTAGATATTAACATTTGGCTTAAGATTAATAAGTCATCTCTGCTGGATTCAAAGGTTAGTTTTGTCCATCTTATGCTAATTCAAAACTCTTGTGTGTAGTCTTCTAATAAGGGAAGATGACCTGTCAACACAGAACTGAAGGCTTCTCAGATATTTTGCCTAAAAATTTTTCATAGTATTCAGATTGTTCCTATGGAAACAACAAAGTTTCAAAATCACTGACATTTAGAAATGTTGTAATCATTTGTTGACACTTGACAACTACCTTTCAAAATGCATCTAATTGCATTTGTGAAATACTTATAGACTCTCCTGTATTGAGACAGGGTACTCAAGATTGTAGTAACTGTACTACCAGATAGTTCATCCATAAACTTGTCTTGCCTTTAGAAGTAAAATAAAAAACCCCAATTCCTAATATTGGGGATATGAGAGAGATTAATTTTCCCTATTTGCATAAATAACCTTTTGCTCATGCAAAAAATAGAATATCTTAATATTTACATGCAGAAATTGTTACTTAGAAATGCATAGTGAAATATAGATTTATGGACCTTTGAAAACATTGAAATTCTATTTCTTTATGCTGAAGAAAGTGGGAATTTGAGAAAATACCCGCAGCATGAAAACCAAACATGAAAGCTTTGGAATATATCAGCCACCAAAGGCAACATTTAATGAGAAGTTCTGGTATATATGGTACAGTATTTTGTATTGTCATTTGCAACAGCATGAAAGTACAGTTAATCCAGTGCTCGAAATATGTCACTATATTATAGTAAGTACTATCACACATACTACGAGCAGACTAAAAAGATATTCTTTTATGAATGGTGTACTCACAGCAAAGAGACATTATTGAGATGGCGTGCAGCTTATTCTCTGATCTGATGTAAGGTCTCATGCAGATAACAAAAATATTTCCAAAGCAGGTGATGGCAGATACAACCCAGACAAACACTCTCTGTATGATGCTAGCTAAAAGGTTCTCGAGGGAGGAAATCCCATCAGTGTTGGGCTTACAGCTGCGCACATGAGGGGCATATCCACAGTATTGGAATTTCTTAAAATATCTGGTTGTGAGAAACAGATAAGAGATGGTTCTAGTTTGGTTATCAGAAAACCCTGCAGTAACTACTCAGAAAACATATTCTGAAAGAAGAAAAATTAATCAAAATCTGTCAAAATTTGACAACTGTTCATATGCTGCTTTTCATATGCCTGCTTTCAATTATCCAGTATTCTTTAATTGTAAAATTCAGACCTAGGAAAGTAAATTAGAATAATCTACTTACATGTGGGAAAGGTTTCTCAGGGGTCTGAACATTCTTCTCTGGATGTTTGCAATTTCAATGCCCTCCAAACTGCTGTAAAAAATATATTCTCAGTAAAAGGCCATAGAAAATCAGTAGTAAAAGAACAAACCTTATGAGCATTTAATTGTGATTACATGATGAGTATAGGAAACTAGAGGTGAACTTTAATTTCACCTAATCTGTAACCCCTTTGAAACTTGACCAGAAAGTCCGCACAAAATCTCAAGAGGAATAAAATAAATTGCAGTTAATTCTAATAAACTCGCTGCTCTTCCAGAATCGTGAAGAAAACTCTTGGTGCTCTCAGCCATGAGAATCTCTGAATCTCTGATTAACATGTTGCCCTTCCAAAGTGCTATTCTACTGATGTTCTTTCATCATCTCTGGGGAAATAATAACTTCTTCTAGTAATAATATTTTAGATGTTTCTTCTGTCTTTTATCCCAGGGAGTGCTTTACTAGACAAACAAACCACTGCAGGAACTCAGTCTTCATTATGTTGAGAACAGCAGGAACCTGGGACACAGACTACAGCATGTAAGGGAAAAAGCTGGCTTTCTTGTGACACAGAGATGGGATTCCTCATTTTAATTTTTTTATGTATATTGAAAGCAGCAATATTGTTTCCCCTGTAGTGTTAGATCAGTAAAGTTTATCTGTGTAAGTTATTCTTTTAGAACTTCAGTTTCTGTATTTTTGCAGTGCATCCTCTTCACTGTGTTAGATGGTGCAACTGCTCTGTTGGTGCACCTATAAAAACTTCCCCTAAACTCTTCAGAAAGATTTATATAAGTCCCAACTTTCTCTGACATGGAAGCTGAATCATACTTAACCATTGTTCTTCTAATGGTGTTAGCAGTAGATTCTGTAAAAATGGAAATGTGTCCCCAAACTTGTAGATATGTGAAATTCTTTTATAATCCCAATCTTTACATATCCTAACAGTACTTGCCCATAGTGTTAATAGCCCCAGCTGGACCTTGCATGATCCTTAAGGCCCGGGAACAAATTGTACAGTGTCAAATGAGGGTTGTGTTACTCTTGTTCTGTAATAGCTGACAATGTTATTCTCTAAGCTAAATTTATGGTCTCTTTTTGCTGGAAAAAATTCCATTACGAAACTGGTATTCTCAGGAAGAAAAACTTGAGTATTGCTAGTAATTTTCCAGGCTTAAATTATTGAAGATCATCAACATAACCATAAAATATATCAAGGACAATTTCTTACAAAACATATTCTGGATCATGTCCTTCCAAGGGATATAGCTAAAATATAAAGACTTGATACTTACAGGGATTTGAGTTTAATTAGAAAATCAAACTGGTCTATTTGTACTTTCTTGATGGGGTTGTAAGAAAGATTCCTGTAAATAAAACATAAGTAACTTTGGCTATCTTCCTTACTGCTTGTTCTAAAAATAAAGTGAAACTACATAACCCACTTGCTTTTCTAGTCCTGTAGGAAGGACTTGTACCCTTGGCAGTTACAATTGCAAAAGGTAAGAATCATTTAGCATTATTTAGCTTCCTAAGCCAATGGAAAGAGTGGTCGGATGCTTGACAAGCATGCTATTGCCATGTACACACACACAGAGACACATAACTTCCTCCCCCAGCCTGATGCTTAAAGGTTTTGACTATAGAAATATTTAGTTATTAATCTTTACAGACTTGTCTTTCAAGTAAAAGAACCTATCTGAACTGCATGCGTTTAGAAAAAAATTACAATTGATTTTGCACGTGAGTTCAAGGGACAGGGACAGAATGGAAAAATAAACATTAGCATTATACACTGTCACTCTGTGCAAGAGTGTTTCTAGGTACATCCTCTTTTACTTCTCCCTATAACTTTTCTTTATGTTTTCATCTTAATATTGTAATTAAAATGCGTAAACTCAATAAATGCAACTGTACACACTTGGTTATATAGAGTTACTTCTGGGATAAGTGTACTTTAGGCAGAGCTTAAATGATGCATACAAACAAATGTGCTCTTCTCTTTCCTAGCACACATGACTAAAAGTATCATATCAAATGAGAAAAATACAGTTATATATAATAATAACCAAGAATCCTTACAGTTGTGAAAGCTCCTTTAGATCCTTAAATATATATGGAGGAAGTGATTCAATCTTGTTGCTACCCAAATCTCTGCAGAAACAGGAAGGATACAGTAAACTCTTACTAGGCTCAATAATTTTACCAAACAGTTTTGCAATTTCAATATACAAAATTTTATTTTATCTGCCAAATAGGATATTGTTTATCCAAATGTTATCAGAAACTTCTATTTTAATAGAATACTATTAAAACAAGGTGGGAAGCTAGATCCATCAAATTGTTCTCTGTGTTATTAGTTCAGATGTACCTGTCATGGTTTGAAAATTGCCCCCCCTGGGAGCCGGGGGGCCGATAGGTGAGGTGATTGGATTCCAGGGCAGTCTCCCCTGGAGTGCCAATCACTGCTCATTTTGTTCGCTCCTGTGAAAAATCATATATACACAACTGCTGGAAGTGGTTGGCCATCGGTCTGTCTGGCTGCTGCTGGGTCTGCTGCTGTGTGGGTGTGAGAAGGCTCAGGGGTGGCAGGACCCCCTTTTTTAGCTCTGGGGGAAGGGAGACCCTGCGGCCCCACAGCTCTGGCTAAGCCAGGGTTGGAGGCACCATTGGAGTGTTGTGAGAGAGAGAGAGAGAATCACAACATAAGGTGAGCGGGGAGAGAGACAGGCAAGCTCCTTGCAAGGAGCCAGACCCTCTTCCTCCCCCCACCCCCTTTCCAGCTAGACTGCAGAGGGGGCTTTCTTTTCCCTCTCACTGTAAAGTAGAGGGGAGGCTCAGCATTGGAGCTGAGCCAAAGTGGATGGGCTGAACACAGCCCGGCGCCAGGGAGATAACCCCAGGCGAAATTGGAAATGGACCAGAGAAAGGCCCAGAGGATGTCCTTGCAGTGATTTAAACGGAGGGCAGCCGAAAACTCGGAGGAAGAATGAAGATTCCAGGATGCGTACGTGTGATAAGCTGAACTAAACTACAGCAGCTACAAAATCGAGGTATGAGAGAGAGAATCACACAGCAGAAATTGACATGGAACCAAGGAGCATGGACTCAAACTATTTTCTTGGACTTTGTAAGGAAGAAGAGACTTCAGTAAACAGCTGGAGGTTGGTGGGAGTAGTGAACCCTTTTCCCTGAACATTCCCACGAGAGAAAGACTGTTTACCTATCAGCCTGAAGGGCTTTTCCTGGACTGAATTGAGGGAGAAGCTTAGAGGGACTGATAGAAGTGTGTAATATTATATATATAGTTGCTTTTAGCTTGTACAGTATATTTATTTGTGTAAAATAAATGTATATACTTCCCCTTTTCCCCTATAGAAGCCTCTTGCCTGACAGTTTCTCTTCAGTGTTTAGATAAAAATTGTGGGAAGGGGTGGGGGAAGCCTGGAAATTGGATTTTAGATTTTTGTGGTGGCTCAAACCACCACAGTACCATTAGATACATAACTTACAGTTATTTTGTTTCTGTCAAAAAGAAAGTAAAATACCTTTAATTTTTAAATTAATTAAACATATTGTTTCATGATAAGAATTCTTTCACATGGGCTAAACAGCACGTCTGTACTGGTTTTGTCTCTACCTTTCACCTTATTTTTACTAAACATAAATCCCAATAACAGAGGAGTAAGGATCTCAGTCCAACTGGCAAACTGGTCTAAAAGACACTGAAGGCACACGTACACTGGACTGTGGTAATGCAAGATGAATATTATTCTGTTCAGGGAACATAACAATCTTGTGAGCAAAAGCCCCAGTATTATTGGTACAGACTATGCATTTTGTTGACTATTTCTTCCCTGTTCAATACATATTAAAAAACCATAAGAAAGGATGACATCTCCAGAGCGTGTCGTATGAAATAGAATTTATGATGAATGATATTTTCAATATAAATTACCAAACTTTGTGACTTGTACAAATAAGAGAAGAAATCTACTCACAATTCATCTAACATCTGGAGAGAAGAGAAGCTGTTTTCGTTTAGAGAGCTGATTTTATTTCGTCTCATCACCCTGAAAGTACAAAACCAACTTACGTTGCTCCTTCTTGATAACTATTTGGTTTTGGAGAAAAGGTTTTATAAATTTTAAAAATTTTCTCTCTTCTGCATCTTCAATTTGAATTTGCCCAAATCAGTTAACAAGCTAATTTCATCTAGAAGCTTGCCGTTTTATCATTTGGTAAGTAATTTTTTTTGCCTATACATCCTATACATGCATCTACTTCCGCATATGTATATACATACACACACATATACACACCCATGGGAAGCTGGTGTAAATTGACTGAGGGCAGGAGGGACATTGAGTGGACTGGAAGGATTGTGACCTAATCACATCTCAGACACAGGCACATGGTTGTGCAACTTTGCATTCACTCTTATTTCATCTGCCACTGAACTTGCTCCTTAAATGAACAACCAGGATTTTAAAAACAATGAGAAAGCCAAGAACATGGGTACTGCACAGGAGTTAAAAATTGAAAGTGACAGATACCATGGAGCCTACTAATCTCTCAAAAAGTGGAAGGGATTTTCTGAAGATGGTTACATCATCACTGAAGAAACTTTTAGGAAAATTATAGAATTGATGAGCCAGGCAACCTACCAGCCAATCAAACTCTTTAAAATGAAGCAACAAGCTATGCACTTTGTACATTTTCTGCTTTTTATTGAGATTTTTGCCTCCAAGAAAAAAATTATAATGAAAATTTCTAAACCTTAGTATCAACCAAAATCACTTCAGTGAAGTTTAGTTGCACATTTCACTGCTGAACTTTGCTATAAATGTAAACAGTGATTAATTCCCTGTGGGGGTCATTTCAAACCAAACATTTTAATAATATACTCAAGAGATAAATAACCATGATACTCAGGAAACTTTTATATTAGCTATAATGAATCACTTGACTGTTCAGCACAGGCATATCTCACTCTGGCTAGCCAGCATATCTTATTACTTACAATACAGTTAGAGTGCTGCAGGAGATGAAAGTAGCATTTCTCACATGATGGATATGGTTCCCTTCAAGGTCTCTAGAATATAAAGAAAACGCCATTAATCATTGAAAATAAATTCAGGCAGTTATTCTAAGGTAATTAGAGAAAAATACTACCAGAACTTCATCACTGCACAGAAGAAAGTGAGAGATAGACATGTAATACTTCTGCACACTTAATTGATGACTTCAGGTCATCAAACCTGCAGTGACCCAGCAGGCAGTCTGCAAGATCCAGTGCCCCATTAGAAAAAGTGTCATGGAAGTGCCATACAAAGACAACAAAATAATATTATTCTAGTGAAATAAGGTATACTTACAGCCAGTTTAGTCTTGGCATATATTGGCACAGAGGTTTATCAGGCAAACGAGCAAGAGAATTATTCATCATTTCCCTGGAAAAAAAGAGGAATAGTATAGCTAGTTGTATTTGCCTAAAGTTAACGTTATAGAAAAAAATTGATGTCTCTTCTCTTTGTACTTTTGGGAAAAAAGTAATTCAAATCTTAATTTGTTTCTTACAGTTTTGAGAAAATAGTACTATTTTCTTAAACTTCCACATATTTTCACTGTGGCATTCTGTGGAGCAGTACTTTATCCTTAACTTGTTAATTAGCAGGTAAAGGAAAGATGTTCATTTCCCTGCTATTGAAATAAAACATAGCAAGCCAACACAATGTGCAATTCAACAGCGGCAGGTTATAGACAGTGATTTGGGGGGCAGGGCTGGGCAGCTGCAAGGGGCAGGGACTATAGGACACCCTCCTCCTGCACCACAGCTCTGGAGGACAACTGGAACTGCACAACTGCTGCAGCTGCCTCGTCCTTGCACTCTCAGTGATGCATTTTACCATTTTCTCCACCCATCTCTCCTAATCATTTCCAGACATGGCGTGTCCTACTCCAACACATTTTGCCCAGGGTAAGAAAAAGCTTCAGATGTGCTGCCAGTACTCTGTGGTAAGCAAGCACAGTCATTATAAAACCTTTTAAAATGCATGTGCCCTTTCTATTCTGTTCTTTTAAATAACTCTTTTGTATCTTATTTCATACTTACAGAAGAATAAGTGATTTGAGTCCATAAAATGTTAACGGATAGATCCGATTTATCCTATTATTTTCAATTATCCTATAAATTACAGCAAAGCATGTATCAGATTGACAATTGATTTGAGTATTAAATTGAACAGATAATAAAGAGTAACATACTTTAAAGTGGATTTCTTCAAATGTTCAGTCAAACTACTTAAAAAAATCAGCACACTACTCCTTAACAAGTTAAGGTCTTAACTGAATTAATTTCCTTTCAGAAAAATTTAATTAAAAAAAATTAATTCTGAGAAAGTAATTAATTTCATCTTAGAAAAAGTGTTTTCCTTTGAGTTTTTTAAATTCCTTGATCAAGATACTTTGAATGGATTTTCTGTGAAAACAAAGCAGCACAACACAGTAGTGTTCTGTGGTGATCCAACAGTTCCAAAGATATGGAAGCAGGTTAGACATATTATTTTCTTATTTTTAATGACTTTTCTTAGTTGAAATCTGTCTGAAAAGCAGTAATAAGAAAATATTTCAGATTATGACAGTCATTTTGTCTGGACATTTCAGGCATTATTTACAGGAAAAGACCGGCCCCCAAAAATTATCTTTCTACTGTTTTATAGTATCTGAGTTATTTAATTTATTAATTTGTAACAAGCAATTGCTAATAGACATTATTTACTATTGTATATGCCATCAGTCACTGAAGCCATTAAGGCCCAAGAACTTTTTTCTGCTCTCACCAAAGTCAATTGCATTTTTACCTTACACAGTACAACAGGAGTTCCTTAGTTATTATCTAGTAAAAAGTATTGCTATGCACAAAAATTAAAGTTATCCAAATATTTCTCTTTTATGAATTATTTATTGAAATAATAAATTTATTGAATTTATTTATTGAATAAATAAACACACAAATAAGAAAGCAACATACAGCCATTCAAGTCTGTGGAGGTCTGCAAAAACAAAAGGCTCCAAACTAGTTATCTTGTTGTTACTCAGGTATCTAAAACAAGATCAACCAAAGATAAATTAATGGAATGATTAGTTAGCAGTAGATGCATGAAAATGAGTTTTAATATTATTTTTTTCTTGATTATTTATCAGAAAACTACTACTTTTTTTCATAATTATAATTTTTGAGTACGGTAATTTTCATGCCATTGTTTGACAACAAGACTCTCTCTAATGAGGACTTTAACAGCAATTGTTAGAGCATTGTCTTATCTATAAGAAAGCACAGCCAGCTAAATATTTTCACTGTGTCATATTTTAGGCCCTTCCCTGTTTCCTTCTGTGGAGTGATTTGTTCCATGGATGTTCCCTGGACTTGTTCAGTTTTTGCTAAGGATACTAGTCCTAAATGTAGATGCCAGAATAATGGAACAAGAAAGGCTGAAAAAGAAGGGGAAGAGGTACTATAAATGGTCTGGGAAGATAATAACAGCAGCTGTAATAACAGATAACCAACCACACTCATATGACGGAAAAAAATAAGAGGTACAATTTTAAAAAACTCTCTTTTTAAAAAATATTGCAGAAAAAATCTTAAACAATAGAATTTATGTGTTGTCTCTTTCATCTCTTAAAAGCATCTCTTAAAGGTTGGAAACACCTTTTAAAAAGCTGCTGCAAAATAAAGAAAAAAATGTTCCTTTCATTACCTATACTGGTTACTTTGAATTGCTTCTGTAAACCAAAATAACAGCATTAAAGATTTTTCATCCATCACAAGCTCTCACTTTCATTTTACTTCTTTTTCGTTCTCTTTGATTTTCTGCAGGGTAACTATCATACTATCTCCTTCTTCCATTCTGAGGATATGAGGAATAGGAGTGAAGTATGGAGCCAACTTGTATTTTCAAAGTATCGTCCTGCACAGATAACTCTTAATCTGTCTTTGCTTTCTTAATCCAATCGTTGGATTGATTTGGACCATTTTGCAGGTTCCTAACATGGAATGAAATAGAGCGAGACATCCATAGCAACTCTCAGAGCTCTGACTGCTGGTTTGTACTTCAATATTCTAAAAGCAGTACTTACAGTTTTGTCAAATTGTATAATCCTTTGAAAGCACGTTCAGATACAGCTCTAATTTTATTATTCTGAAGATACCTAAGAAGATAGAAACCCAACAATTAATTCTCTAAATAAGCAAAGTTAAAGCAAACCTAAGTAAATAATTAAAATCTATCAGCTAAACTGAATGTACATTTTATACTTTAAAATAAGTTTTCAAACTTGTTACACTTTGAATTTGACAATAACCATTTCACAGCTATAGCTGCAAAGACTGCAAAGGTGTTTTTAAAGAAATACACATGAAGAGCAGAATTACAAAATTCATTCAAAGGGACTCTTACTTTGCCTGAGATGAACAATGAAGTGGTTGTTTGCAACCTCCTTGATTAGGTCCTAAACTTGCAGTGCTCACCTGTGTGACCTGATCTTTGTGTTTAGCCAGATCTCTGCTACAAGCAAAATTTTACACAGAAAATATTAGTTTAAAACAATTTTTGAATTTTCCATTTGCAGTATCAGAGAATTATTAAAATGCTGCATTTTTAAGATAATAAAAATGTACAGTAAATCTTACTAATCTTCTCTAAAGGAAAGATACTAATTTTTTAAATTCTGGTTTTCTTTAGCTGCTTTGATGAAATAATGAGCTGAAAATATTATCAGCTGCAAATATTAAATAATTTTCAAATAATTTTAAAGCATCATATTGTTATTCTCTGAGCAATATTTAAATATAAGTTCTTTTAATTAAATTACAGTTAATAAAGCATCCAGATGCATTCCTGTCAAAACAATAAGAGATCTGACATTGGGCTTCTGTCAAACACTGTTCAAGACCTTTTGGAAAATGTATATCATTCAGATCAGACGGGTGTGAAGTCAACGTTAGAAGCAAGTGTTTTGTACAGATAGATATGGATATGTTTCTTTTAGCGAAAATGTACCTTTCAAGACTGTAAGGTCATAATGACACTTAACTTTCAGAACACAAGATGGTGCTGCAGTACAGCAGAGTTCCCATAAAAGAGACCTTTAAACTGACATAGGAGCCCTGTTTTAGACTTCACATTTAATTTTTAATTTCACTAATTCTACATCAAGAAAAATTATTAAAGTCTATGATTTTTGAACAACATAAATGTTACTCATTGTGAAATATTACACAGTATTGTTCTGCCATAACAATTTGACTAGTTGGGCCATTACTGAGTTGGTACCAGACATAATTAGGAGTAAAACCATGTGCCATGTGAGTGAGCTTCCCATGACAGTGGGAAGTTTGAATTTCCAAACTTTTTTGCAGAATAAACAGATTGACTTACTTTAATTTATTTTGGCATATACTGTTCATTATAAATGTAACTTCCTTCAGACACAATGAAAGTTTAGCATTTTTTTGGTATAAACCAGTCCATATAAAAACATTAAATATGCAGAGATTATGATTTTGAAAAAAGACAGATGTCAAATCAAGATACTTGAGCCAAACAGACTACACATTGAAGGTTGAGATTAACCAGAATTTTGTTACTTAGATGTTAAGCTCTGTGTGTGTGTACATATGAAAGAAAGAGAGGATGAATGTTTAAGGCACTAAATAGATATTTTAGGTTGAAGCACTCCCTTACAGATTTTTAAGATCTTGATATTTCTTGAAAACATCAGCAGAAAGCTTTCTTAGCAGATTCCTCTGAAGAGACCTGTAGGAATGAATGCATACGGTAAAACTACTGTCCCAGCTTGCTATAGTGTTGCTACTTTTGTTATTCAATAAGAGCAGCTCTCACACTGCTAAATAATGAAAGCAACATGAAACTATCTGAACATGCTACTTCTGTTTGTCTGAATATTTGTATCTATTTAAACAGTAAGATAAATGCTTTATAATAATAAAAAAAATTCTTCCATGTCCCCAGGAAAATTGGCAATATAATAGTTAAATCTAAGAATGAAAAAGTTTTGAGTATAAACTACAGATTTATTTCAAACATCAAATGCATATAGAGCTTATTTCCCAGTTCATGTGTCTCTATGTCCCCGTCTCCACAGGGGATACTCAAGTGTCCCGTCAAAACCAAAATTCCTTTGGGGCATGATTGGATTAGAAGAGAATCTAGCCTGAAAGGCAGCTGAACCAACTCAACAAGGAGAACATCAACCACGAGTGAGCACAGACTGGTACTGTTTGGAAGGATCCGTACCCTTGCTCTACAAGGCAGATCCTCAGCTCAGGACACGTGATGCTGCACTCTGCTCACCACACATAAAACTGCCTCTCAAACAGTGATATGCAAACCAAGTGCACATCAACCATTTTCTCATCTCTTAAAAAGGTTTGGCTTATACATACGTATCTGTACGATGACTCAGCCCACATTAAACCCTTTTAAATAACAGCGTATTCAGACACATAAACTGAGAACTAAAAAGATTTGCTCAAGCAGGTAGCTCCACTGATTTCAAGATTATTGACTTTATTGACAGAAATACAGACTAGGAATATTGGCAGGATTGTAGTATAATAAAAAGGTTCTAAGCATTGTGTCTTTAAAGGAAACTTCTGTAGATTTCTGTAGATTTCCTGAAACTCTTGCTAGCTCAAGTCACTCTTACAAAAACAAAATTTTCACTTCACACAGTTTTTTAGTTTCTTTTCTCTGCTTTTATGTAGGAAGAATCTCTACTCTACTTTCCAAGCACCAGCTGAGCCAACTGATCATAATTATAAGGCTGTAGTTGTGAAAAGGTTTCAGGATTGATAGTCAAACCTGAACAGAGCAAGAGACCACTTTACTTCTTTACTTACATTACGGTTATGTTTGAAGAGACTGATGGGACAGCTCGTAATTTGGCAGCATCACAGAAGATCTCCAGCCCTTGGCAGGTACACTCTGATGGCACATCACCAGCCACTGCACGAGAACAAGAACGTGGTTGTGGCAAAAGGTGGGATGTGTCGTGTGATGGGATGTGAAGAAAAGAAATATGGTGTAAAAGAACAATGAGCACAAAGCAGACATAGCAGGCTCTGTTACATGGAAATTAAGGCACATGTTTTTACATAATTCGTTTAGACCTGGTAAGAACCTAACAATAAAGGAACACAAAAAATTATTTTACCTTCTGACCTCTGTGAAAGGGCTTTTAAAAGCTCTTGAGCCTTAGGCTTGTTGTACAGGAATCTGGTATGGATTTTTTGCAGCACTTATTTAGATTATTCAGTCCCCTTATTTTACTAGAATGAGCACAGTTCTGCCTGGGTGAAAATGCGATGAAAATGGGTCAGGAAGTCTTTGCTCCCTTTCAGCCCAACTCTGTGTTTTAAATTACTGCTCACAATAGGCAGCAGAATCAAAAAGTCTGTACAAAGGCCTGCATAAGTGGAGCAGGTTTGCAAGTTTCATTTGATGTACAAAGACATGAACTGGGGAGAATATTACCTTCATTTCATTCTGAAATATGTGTGAAATATATGTCTTTCCAGCAGTATCAACATATTCAAATAAACATTTATATTATGCTCCTGATTGGAATATGTTAATTGGCATATGTTTGGCACTCCTCTTGCAGAAAATGAATCATCCTTAATGAAACTGAAATTAACTTCAAATTAGCATTTGTTTATCTGAGACATTAATTCTGTTTTACTATAAATGAAACTGCATTATCTTTTTCTTCCTGATAAGCATATATTTACTGTGTATTTTTCTCTAGGAATCATCATTAATAATCACTCAAATAATATCTGTAATTACTTACAGCACTCAGGTGTCTTTTTCTGAAATGCATACAGAGATTTCAGTTTATTGTACTTGTCCTTTGTATAATGTTTATCAAATTGCAGAGACCATCCATTGTTGTCTTCTAATAAAAAACCAAACAAAACCACAACACAAACAGACCACAAATAGAAGACATTAGAATACAAACAGAAGGTATTAATATCTTCACTTAATTTAGTTGCATCAAGTTTTATCTAAATAATATGGGATTTTTTCCAGCGCATTTCACAGACCATTAGATAAACTTATCTTTTAGAGTTGCCTAATCACACACAGCTATGGAGATTATAAGGTGCATAGTAGGAACAATTTATTACGCCTTCAACAACTTTTTCTGTGACAGTCACACTGAAAAAACTACGATCTTGACATTAGAAATTGTTGTTTACATAGGAGTCTAAAGATGAGAGGCAACCATATTTCCCTACATCCTTAAATGTGTGGGTTTGTCACTTTGTCCATGGAAACTGAAATGATTACTGTGACTCTGACTTATTCTTTCAGAGAGCCATCTTGTCTATAATTTCTTTTTAAAAATCTAGATGAAGGCCAAAGGAGCACTGCTTTTCAAGAGAAAGGGAGGCTTGGTGTAATGAATTCAAGGCAGTGTGTTTAAGTTAAGCTTAAGAGGCATCTTAAACATAGCATGATTCCATATTATCAGTTTGGTCACTGTGCATAAATATAGTGGAAATGAGTTTATGGCTAAAAAAGCAAAAATTGAAGAGCAAACCTTTCAGTTCCTTCCACCAAAGGGACATTTCAAGATACAGTGGTGCTGGAAATAACTTCAGATACATTAGTTGTTTGTTTCTTGGAAGTCTATTGTGTATGGGAGATCCGTAAATTAACTGATCAGGTAACCACTTCCAAAAAAGGGTGGAAAGGGAGAGGTAACTTGCCTTTAAAAGCTGTGATTGGATTTTAGTTGTATCAATTTGAGTCTGACTTCTCTTTACCTTTGACACACCCTTTTAGTTTAAAGCATCTCATTTAATGAACACTCACAGCAGCAGAAATGCTCCTAATGCATTTTGAACTGAGTGAAAGGTATTGGCAAAACATTGCTGTTTCCTGTTTTAAATCATTAGAAGAAGCTCAGTTTTAGGACTGCCTGCAGCATGGAATTTGTAATTGGTGAAGCAATGAGAACAGATTCTTTGCCAAGTGGCAATTGCCTTATAAACCTACTGCCCCGTAGATGGGACCATAATGAGGTTTCCTTTATCATTATTCCTGAATATTTAACTGGAACACATCCATTGACTTTCATTTGTATGACTGGACCCATCAACTGGGACCTGAAGAAACTGGTGGGAACACAACATATGCAGAGAAGGTAAGATTTAAGAAGAAAGGAATCTTTTGTTGAGTGTTTTTAAAAATAAATTTGTAAAGATTTTTAAAAATGAGATTGTTCTTGAAGTTTTAATCATACCAAATAAATGTTTTGCCGTCAGGAATATAGTCTCAAATACTCTTGGATTTTCTAAATCATAATTATGTTCATAGAAAGTTTTGGACAACTAAACACTTATCTGCACATTTTAAACATATAGTTAAGAGCCATAAATTCTAATCCACCTGTAAGCCAATGAACACATAAAGTATAATTTTTCTGCATTTCCCTGCTTCTGACTCTAGAGTGGATACGCAAGATTTTATTCCGCCTTTTTATACTTTTAAAATTCTTTGCCATGTGACACAGCATGTACAGGAGGTGACATCACTGCACTTCACATCTGCAGAGAAAATGAGTAGGGCCTCCCACACTAATGGGAATGATGGAGCAGTTCGCTACAAAGGAAAGGTTCAACAGTATTTTTGAGGAAGTTGAGAGGCAGCTGTGTATTTTTGGGTGGCCATAAAAAAAGAAGGGAAAAAAAATCGCAGTGAAGATGGATTATTTTGTACTGGAATCGTTCCAGTTTGGAGTTTCTAGTCAGTTTATTTCAAATAATGGGCTTTTCTCATGGAATTGATTTTCTTGCCTTCTACTAGAAATACAAAGGCATATCTAATCTAACAAGTTGTTAAAGGTTTTTTGACCTTCAGAAATATATGCTTTGGGCCAAGTTTTATGCCCAAGCCTGGGACAGTCTTTATTTCATACAAACTATTTTGTCAAATCCTGAAAGAATGTATTGTGCAAATAACTATATTTAGTAGAAACATTTGATGAAGCATTCAATGGCAGAATTGTAAATCACTTTGTGATTGTTTAGAGTTTATATGGAAGGTTTGTGACCTGTTAACCTCTTTTGAGGCGAGGTTCTCCAAACACTTTAAGAAATGACTGGTAATAGTACTGGTCTTGAAATCCCAAATCTATCATTGAGAGAGTACAGCTCAGATGAGAAATTGCTTTTCCCCCGAGCCAGTTCTAAAATAGATTATGTTGGCTGTGCTTCTGTAAAATAACCAGAGATCTAGGAAAACAAGGCATCATCAAATCTTCTTTTACATGGGATAAGTGAAATAAGTGTTGGTAAACTGGATTTATCTTACTACAGATTAGTACACTGTTCCTCGCTAAAAGTCGCCGATTAGTACTTCTGATGGGAACAAGAAAGAGCACTTTAATCCTGACAAACTACAGATTTGAATAATCATTTCAGTAACAGATCCAAGAAAATATCATCTTTGCTCAATTAAAGACACACATCTTACTCAGTATGGAGCTTATGACCAGGATGTTATCTATATGACTTTCCCCTTCTCTCGGCCATGTTTTCATTGGTTATTATGCAGAGAAATGCTATCAGTTAAATGCATAAACACTCTAAAGAGACACTGTTGTGTCTCCCTTTGGTTTTGCCTTTGCTGTTGTTGGTCATAACCTGTGGACATATTCTTTCTGTCATTTGTTCAAATAAACTTTCTCTTGCTGTAAGAAATTACTTCAGGCTTTTCACAAGGATATCTTTTCATACAAGGAAAACCCATTTCCATTAAAAATGTTTACAAATGTAGAAATATAATTGCCCTTTTCCACACTGATATAGCCTAATAACTTACAGCAAGACCAAAACCACACTGATATTTTACCAAGTGGAGTGTTGTGGTGTCTGGAGCATTCAGATTTATGAGGGAATTTCACAGTCCCAGTTTACATATCCAAGCAGAAAAAATTAAGAACTTAGAACTGGACATCTTATCAGTCAATTCAAAGGCAATTTACCCCACACCCAACTGTGTGTCACTGCACATTGACTGCCTCCTGTACCTTCTGATTAATTGAAATGTGGTTCTTCTGCTTATATGTGACAGTGCAATCATAGTAAACCAGACAGGAAATAAATCAATTCAAATAAGGTTTACAGTTCTCTAGATGAGCTAGATTATATGCCTACCAAGTTTATTCTTGATTTTAAAACAACTTAATTAAGCTAGGGCAACTTTTAAGAAAATCAGCAGGCTCAAATTTCCAAAAGATAAACATCTTCTCAATATTGCATCTTTATTCTCATAAAACACATGCAAAGAGGAGCTTTTCAGTTTTATAACAATACTTTCAATCTATATAAATTATTCTGATTTTCTATTCAGTTTTTCTCAAAGTATTTTCAAATTTTTAAATAAATTAAAGTAAGCTAATGGCATGAATACACCTATGAAACCTTTAGTTGCTTCAGCGTTTACTCGGCAGTACGCCACTACAATGGAGACCAGGAGAGACGTAAGTCTAGTGAAATGTAAAAGTTCCTCTTAGTTATCAACAACATTTAAAGATTCAATAGCAAAACTGATTAAAAACCTCCAGAAGTTCAGCAAAGCAATTATATTTGCTGATACTTGCACATCAGAGAAAACCTGATTATTTCAGTGCCATATACTGTTGACAAATGGCAATGACAGCAAGAATAAAATTTGGCCATATAAAAAATTTTCCATGTGAAGCTTGAAAATCCTACCTTTTGCCAAGTATTTGCTACATTTTAAGTATACTATGGACTATCAAATATTTATTTTATGCTTCAAACCCAAAATTTATTATTTAATGCACAAAACTGAATAGTGCCTCATACATCAAAATCTCATATTTTAAGTATGATGGGAAATAATGCCATGCCAGGAAAACATGAGACCAGCTATAACATTACTCATTATTAGTATTAATTTCAAAATAAAATTGTCAAGGTCTTCTGCAATGTCATGAGGCAAAAATGGGAAACTGAGACCCTCTAGAGATTCTCATCCCTTATAAGTAATCCTGTAATATTAAAACATATATCTTTTGTACAGACGTTTTGAAACACAGAAATTTAGATTTCTGCTATGGAAATCTAGATGATGATTTAGTGAATCTACAGAACTGCAATAATTGTCTGTAAATCTATAGACCTTCAAAGAAATGCATATGAAAATAACATGAGATTATATAGAGTATTATTTTATCCTGTTAAGTTTTTATAAACCCGTTAAAAAAAAGATGCAATATGTTGTAACTTATTAAACAAGGCAAACCAGTCAATCAATGAGTGTGTGGCACACAGTAGCAGATGAGGTCTTGTGTTTTTAGAGGCAAATAGGTGCAAGACTTCAAACAGCTGCTCCCTGCCCCAGTTCTTCTGGAAACCTCTGTGATTTTCAGCCTATGAGCTACACAGAGCTTGATGAACCTCTATAAGTGAACTTTACAACTGGGGAGCAGAATGCTGTCTTCTGTTCAGAGACTTCTTAGGCCTGGGAGCAACACAATGGTAAATACATTTAGCCAGTGAAGAACTCCTCCAGAGTCAGAAACAAATTAAATCTGCATGCCTGTTCTTGCTTCATTGGACTGGAAAAATGTGGCTATGACACTGTGATTAAAAAACAAATGCAGACACACTGCAACCATTGCCTAGCTGCCAAAAAACAGTTTTGCAGAACTATCAGCAAAATTGTCCAGAAGCCAAATTTTTAAACACTGAGGAAACTTGTGCTCCTAAAATAGCTCAGGCTGCTTTGTTCCATTAGCTGCTCTGCATAATTAAAGATGCTGCTTATGAAAAAAGATAAAATCAAACACTGATACATTGTCTCTTCCATTGCCAATTTTATTGCTGCTAGTAAGTAAAGTGTAGTCAAATGTGTAAC